ATTTCGCGAAATATTTCGTAGATTACGTCAGGGTAATAAGGAATATCCTTATCCAGCCGACAAAACATCCACTCGGCTTTTGTCATATCAGAAACCTCGGGAATAGACTAACCGGTAATTTCAGACAAAAGATAGGGAATAGCTTTATAATATTTCCCTAGCTTTAATTTCTTTAATGTCTTCCTTAGACTTTGCGGGGTTGGCTCTTCTAAGTGGTCTATGATTTTCTTCTTTACTTCGTTGTCTAAATATACCGGTCGAAGACCCCGGATATGACTCATCCAGTCCCTAAAGTATTTTATTCTCTTATAAGGTGTTTTCGTACGACCTCCATTGGCGTAATACTGCTCTCTGGTAGCATTTGGTACGGCATTACGAATATTCTTACCACACTCGTAACACTGTGCTGACGTGTCATCTTCTATTTGCATTTTCTTACCACAACACCAGAAACCCTTGGGCTTGGGTATGTTAACTTTGAATCTTAGACAAATCACACAGAAATCATTGGCGAACTTTTTACATTCATGCATCGTATATCCAACAAATATCTTAACCCTCATTTGCGATACCTTTGATTCCCAACACAGCAGCAGTAAGGGAATCGTCGCGCAACGCATAACGGGACACGGGTATTTCCCGCTGCCGACCCGTTCCTTAAATCGCCAGTAAAACCCGTAAATCTTCGACATCCACCGCGAGTCCCCCTTACTGCTGCTTGAATACACCGCTCTATCCGCAGTCTCATTATCAGAGGGGGTACGAGATAATTGACCGCGCTATACCCCCCTCCCCCCATTCAATTGGGTTTTATTTCTGCCCTTGCCGATTCTTTATTCGTTCCTTTGGCTGAGTTCCCAGAAGGGTAGGGAAGGGATGGAAAAGCGCTTCAATATTTCCGGAGTCATCAACCATAAAACAAAAGGACAGCTGAATCTGTGCTGTAACAGCGCTGTTTCCGCCCAAGTCACTTGTTCTCCGTTATCCTGTCTTTCGAATACTTTAATGTGGGAACAAAAGAATAGTGAAACGTTAGAAACCAAATATCTCAGCACTCTATTTCCACGGTAATACAAACGGCTGTTTAAGTGTGGCTGAGGGAAAGGACTTTAGTTTCCTTGCACTATACCTAGTAGAGCAAGTTTTGGAAAAAATAAAGCTGCAAAGCTAGAATAATATCTATGACTTCCTGCTTGCTATACTTAATAAGTTAGTTCCTCGTGATAGGCGGTCATCTTTATTTTTGGTTGTGGTTAAACCAAACCATTGGTTGGTTTTCTTTCAAACAGACAAGCTGCATTGGCTCATTGAATCCATCCCAATTAACAAATGCACAGAAGATATTCTTAGTACACCGCTTAGTTGCGAAAACTTCTCGTCATCCGGGTTCCGCGAAATTGTTTGTTTTTTCCTTCTTTTTCTTCTTCTCGGTCTGACTTCCTCTTCAGTCTTGTTCATTCTATACAGAGCAAACAAGCTCAGGCATTGAAAACTGTCTATGCGATCATTTATTCGTAAGTATATTATATCAAAGGGAAAGAATGTATTACAACGTGTGATAGATTAGTTTTTCATGCCCTTACGTGTCCTTTTCTGAAATGTACTGTCTATATTTACATACGATATGAAAGACATTTTTTAATACTAATATTTGAATTTTTACAGTTTTCGAACTTTTCATAATAAGCACTACTTTCGAGCTTGTTGAGTCTCAAGGGAAAGCCCCTTTTAATACTGAACCTAAACAAGATGAATCTAGTCGTAGTACTATGAAGTGAAATCGAAACCAAAATACACGCAGCAAAGATATAAAGCGCTAACTGCTTGATAGATGCAGTACGCCGGAAGACTACTCCAGATACAGCATCGTTTCATGCGGAAACAAGCCGAAGTGACCATTCATCTTGACTAAACATGTGGCAAGTGACTGCAGTGTATTGGCTATTCTGCACTACTGGTAAGACCCATACTAAGTAGTCCAGCACTTGAATGTATAAATGTGCTTTATTTAGGCACAAAAGGTAAACTAGTTAGTACGGCCAGTACCTAGACTACATAGCAAGAGTACCTGCAACAAGCTAGTATTCCATACTTTATTTGCACTAATGCAATAGTGAAGCTTTATTCTTGTCTATTGTCAGTGCTGATTCTAGTTCTTCTGAAGTAAGTCGTTTAGATTAAACCAAGCATAAAGTTGCAGAAAAACCTTTTAAAATGGCATTGAAAGAGTTTTTTTCGTAAAATTGTCAGTAGTTAAGTAATCAGCCAACGCCCTCGGTTCATAAACGACCCTTTGCCGGGCTGCGGTCTGTGAATGCCGTTTAAGTTCTCGGTCTTTGGATGCGCGTTTTTTTCAGTGTGTCGGAACTGATCAATGCAGATCAAGTTGTGCGTGATATTACAGAGACCCATTGTTAGTATGCCGGGATGGCGGTATATGTTTAGTGCCTGCAACTGGGCTGGAAGATACGATACTCGACAATCTTTCCCTATGTTTTCCCAACAGGGCTGTACCTTAATCGCGTTAACAGTGATGATGTTTCTCATCGAGTATGGATGGAGTCGTCATATTGTAAAAGCAATGGACAGCGAGTGTCTTACGACTCAACTCACAGTATCTGCTGTAATGACAAGCTTCACAACCGCACTGATGATAACCAGCTTTACTGCTGTGGTCAATATCTGTACTCGCCTGACATCAGCATCTGTTGTGATGGTCGCCTTCATGACATCAGTCAAGCCACTGCCAAGCCTCAGTGTTGTAAACGGATTTCTTACGATGCTGATAGATTCATCTGCTGTGAAAATGGTGTGCTAATGAAAAGAAGATTCAGACATACTGCATGCTGTAACAACAAGACTATAGATATCACAAGAAAAGTCTGTTGTGAAGGAAGGGTTCGCACTTCTACTCAAGGTATCTCTTTTATCACTGAGTGTATGTAAGTGCGGCGTTCTATAGCACTGGTTTGAAGTCTAACTTCTTATTTCAGGTCGAACATCATGTTGTGGTAAAAGGTCTTATAATCCATATAAAGATACTTGTTGCAATAGAACTGTGAACCGTGATATCGTCACCAAATCCTGCTGTTCAAAACAAGCCTATGACAAGAGTGTATCAACATGTTGTAATAATCACTTGACCCACAGGGCGGGGATGCAATGCTGTGAAAACAAGTCATATGATCAGAACACCCATACCTGTTGTGGAGGGATTATCACGAGAAAGAACCATACCACAGGATGTTGCTGTAAGCAGGCTATTTGTACTTTGTACAATACTCAACAACAAATATGCTGTAATGGAATGGTTGTACCTAAAGGTGGACATGTAGGATGTTGTGGTGCAGATATCTATGATGTCACTATGCAGGTAGAACGCAATATGAACAAACCATTTTGTTGTACGGACGTGTCAGTCTGCTATTTAACTGTTTTTCCATCGTTTCTCATCAGGTATGTTGCGGCAACATCACACTTGGAGCAGGTCCTAGTAACTGGCGGTGCTGTGGGAATATTCCTTACAACAGCAACAAACAAATCTGCTGTAGAAATATAATTCAAGCAAAAACAAACAAAGATATGCGTTGCTGTGGCAACAAGGCATACGATCCTTACATATTTCAATGTGAAGACTATTTTTACAATCACGTGATACCCATAAACGGCAAATACTGCGATAGAAGGGTGTATGACCCAGATGATGATCTGTGTTGTCACGTGTCAGTTGTACCTAAGACGTATGGCCAGCGGACTGCATGTTGTAACCAACAAGTCTATGATAAAGATAGATATGTGTGTTGTGATGGAGTCATCAATCCCATCCCTGCAGGAATACCACAGTGTTGCAGACACAATGCTTATAATATCCTGAAAAACAAATGCGATGTTGCAAGTGGCGAAATAATAAGTCGTTCAAACAGGTTTGTGAGGTTTTGTGGTGCACAAATGGTGGAATATGATACCAGGAAATACCTGTGTTGTAATGGCACAACTTATGGTCCAGGAAATGTCTGCTGTAAGGGAAGCGTTGAAAGACTTCCTGGAATAAGTTTAGGTTAGTTGAAACAATCGAAGTGCAATTAGGATTGCAATTCGTTAAAAAAAATTTTTTTTTATTTCAATTCTCATTGACAGGACAAGGAAAATGTTGTGGGCAGTACCCTTACGATAACAATAAATATATCTGTTGCCATGGAAACCTGTACAGCAACTTTAAAGGGAACAAGTGTTGTGGTGCCAAGCCATACAATGCCTCCACGCATGCGTGTTGTCAAGGGAATATTTACCCAGAAGGCTTCACGTGCTGCAAAGGCGTGGTCCATCTAACACCAGGGGTGCAGCTTGGAAAGGGTAAATGCTGTGGTGGGATTGGGTACAACAGGAAACGACAGATTTGCTGTGCTAAGAAAGTATTTACAAGAAAAAGTAGAAAGGTAAAATGCTAATGCATATAATAATAATAATAATAATAATAATGATAATAATAATAATGATGATAATAATAATAATAATATTATAATGATGATGATGATAATGATAATGGAAGTTTCTTATATAGCGCATTTCAAATATCTCAATGCGCTTCACATTTATGACCAGAGGACTTTACGGGCTGTATATTAAGGCGCTATTAGCAGCCGTGCAGCTTACAATCATGAGTGTGAATCGTTAGTAGATTATGCCTCCAAATTGGAATAGGCTGTTGAACCGGGAGACAATCCCCTACTCTTACACGAATAATTCAACACTGTGTTCTTTTATGTCCCCCATTTTACTGTAGCTTAGGAAGGGTTGGGAGACAGGGCCTACTGTTTTAAGTCCTTGTCCGAGAATACTTGAAGGTCTAACCATTTGCAGATGTAATTACAAAGGAGCACCTTCTCTTCAGTTATTTTAACCTGAGTGTCCAGACCAACGCTCTTACCAACCGAGCTAGCCGGGTGGCGGATGTATTATCGCTCATGCATTGATTCTAAACAAGTTTTTCTCTTTGTTATAGATGAAGTGTTGTGGTACTCGTCCTTACGATAAGTCACGCAATATTTTCATTTGTTGTCACGCAACATTGTCCGTCATAGGTCATCATGGACGCAACGTCTGTTGCAGAAAGGAACCATATAGCCCGATACTGGAGACTTGTTGTAGAGGACGTGTTCACACGAAGCGCAATGCAACGTGTTGTGGACAAAATATCTACGATCCTTTAAAATCAATATGTTGCAGCAATACTGTTTATTCAATACACAAGTATGGAAAAGACTGTTGCCGAAAGATGGCTTACAATGCATCCACACAGGTCTGTCGATCAGGATCTGTATTCCCAAAAGTGCTTTGCGGTCAAAAGATTTACGATAACAGGACGCAAATGTGTTGTGGTGGTAGAATACGCCAAAAAGGTGCTTACATAAGATGTTGTGTCAAAAGAAGCTATAACATAGTAAAGTCTATCTGCTGTAATGGAAAAGTACGACCCAACACTAGAATATGTTGTTCTAACAGAGTCTACAGTGCTAAGGGTTTTGGTTGCTGTGGAGGATTTGCACTGAGAAAAAACCATCCACATCTCAAATGTTGCGCTGGTCAAGTCTACGAGGTTGCACAATACAGGTGTAAAAGAAATAAGATCGTGGCCAAAGGGAAACTGCAAAGAAAGATGTGTATGAAGGAGAGCGCATTTGGTAGGTCACATCCCTAACTAGACATGCTATCTTGGATAAGCTATTGATCTATATATTAGATGCACAAATCCGCGACTACTCCACTTACTATATAATAAGTGTTTTATTTGATCATTTCCTAGCTTTTCTTGGTGAACTCCAGTCAATAGGAAGAGTGTATCATTCATTCAAATTACTCAGTGTTATCAAAGGGGAACCAAATATCCAAGTAGGAGCCACGATGAAGGTTTTATACAAGCACGCACAGTTCCAAAGACTAAAGAAGAGAACAGGACAGACCTATCTACTGGCAGGGCGTATAGTGTGGAAGGATTCGTTCATGATGGAAAAAGTCTTCCTTTATCGACCCTGGAGGAAGAAACTACAGGAAAAGCTAGAGGCATTAGTGAAGAGTTGTCACCTCATAGGAGCTGCACATCCTGTAGTCAAAACACGCTTTTTCAAGGCTTTTGGAAGGATGTAACCGCCGACTGATGTACAGCACCCATACAGTTAATATCCAAATGTTGCTATATTCAAAACTAGTTACTTAAAAATCCAATCCTTTATCAGTTTATTCACATTGAATATATACGATGAAGAGTTTTCTTTTAAAATGCCTCTCAGCTATTGCATTTAGATGCATGTGGCATGTTAACCGCATGAAAATACCCATATTTGGTAGGTCACATAAACAGCCAACTGACAACGCGTAGGTACAGTAACTACTTCACAACCCTAGTATGGTCTTTTTAGTATCAAATTCATTCATAACTGATATCAATTTGATATTCTGAACATGGGAAAGCCTCACTGCACAGCATACCACGAGGCGCGTAATGCATTGTTTGCTAAAAGGAAAACTTGCTGACCATATGTTATATTACGTCTTCGTCGACAAGAAAAGTTTTCGCTGAATCGTTCTGCCTCGGATAAGTTTCATCTTAGTTTAAGATAAAGAAGCTGTGAAGAAAGTGTTCACTAACTGAACATCTGGGAATAAAAAGGTGTGTTCAATTTACTTAGAAAAAGAGTGAGAAATAAATCTGTCAAATCAGTTCATGTTAATCACAAATGATCAGTTCTTTTTATAACGCTACAGGTCATTAACGATAGTGACTTAGTGTAAAGTCTTGTGTGATCACGAGTGCACGATCCATCTTAATCGAAACCTTGTTTTTGATATATTTTTTTATTAAAGCTTATTTTTCTAAAATGAAATTAAGGCTTTCGTTTAATGTTTGCTCTACTTTCGATACTTAGTGTTAAATAAGTCTCCAGATGGATGTATTGGATCTAAGGGTCACTCATTTATTTCGAAAGCCGGTGGTTTTTCCTGGGTGTATTTTGTGACAGGTTAGTGAAGTCGCAGTTTCGATCCTTGTAAACGTGAGTTTTTTTAATATATGACTGGTTTCCTCATGATACCAATACAACATATCTATGCGCATAATATAAAAGACTTCGCCTCTAAAATATCAATAATACATCTTATTCTCTTACACAAGTTTATAAATTACACTTTTTCAGTTTTTTTTCCTCCCTAGTAAATTGGTTTAAATACTTTGTATTACATAAACATTTTAGTCATTGTTCTTTTCTATACATCACTTTCTCTGTCCATGTCGGCAAGAGCTTGTGAGCTGAGTCTCTTTTGTTGTTGTTGTCTTCTTTCTATCTCTCTTTGTAGGGCCTGACTGTATTCTTCGTACCTCATGACAATTTGTTCAACTTCTTTCTTGTACAATCTCTTTAACATCGTCTGCCAACAGTCTAACTCACTGTACCGGAAGAGTTCCCACTAGGTTAGAAACACAAATGGACATTGATCAATTATTCGTGGATAGAAACATGAGATTGAACATCCAACCTTTGGTGTTTCACATCAAGTTTTACGAGGTTGAAGTTGTACGCAATGTTTTATCATACTTCCGCACGTTTACAAGGAAATGGACCCAAATCAACCATGGTACATACATATATGCATACATAGTACATAAACTGTTGGTTGGAACAATATTTTTTACTTATGTAGCTTTGCATTCAAGGGCTTAAACAAAAAATTTATTCTCTTGGGAATGAACAAGGTGCCATGTGATAAAGGTTTTCATGGCGAGTATTAGAGATGGGGTATAATATACAAAGGGATGAAGGGGATATCTCATATATAGTATCAGATTGGAAGGGGGGAGTTAAGGGTATCTCTCTATTGAAGGTGCAGTAATCAGTAGGGAGGGGAGGGTAGGGCACTGTCTTACCTTCAGGAAACAGTCATATTCAGGGGATGCTTGTGCATATGTCATAAGCCATTGTGGTATTTCTAACAGCAAGAAAATAAAATGTATTTTTTAAACAAGGAATAAAACCATTGCAAGTATACTAACAAATTAAAAGTGTACCTCCACCAAATGACACCTTTGAAATGTGTTCTATTGGTTCCTGCCGTACTTCGTCATATACTTGATTCTGTTCAGGTTGTTGACCAACATGTTGTGGTTGTTTGTATCGTTGAATATATTGACTTTGTAATGGATGTTCACACTGGGCTATGTTACTCTGGCAGCTGAGAAAATAGAGAAATGAATAAAGCTTCTTCATGTATTCATGTATTCATCTACCAAGATAACATATAACCAACGCAGCCAGCCAGCCTGTTTTACTTACTTGACATAATATACTCCATACTCCTGGGATTCTGCTCTCTCCCATCCTTCTGGAAGTTCTGTGTGAAAGCATGACAAATAAAAGTTCATATTATGAATATGTGTATTCAGTTTGCAAGTGAATATTGAGATATTATTGTGTTACCTTCTTTGTGTATAGGATGCTTCCAGTCAGTAGTCTTTGTGTGATGGCTGTCCAACAATTGAACAACAAGTTAGTCATGTATTTGATAACTATTGATACACAGAACATGATCATACTTACTCAATAAAGTATTTCCTGCCATCAGGGGTTACTGCGGCCTCCCAGCCTGGTGGCAAGATGTGGTCAAGCTCTGAAATAAATACAAAATCTTGATCACACCAAAGAAACACAGAAATACATGGATGGTGTATTATTTGATCTTCTTACTAACCTAGATAGCCTGATGCCTGATCCTGGTCATCTGAATCAGTAGAGACACAACTTCTATAAAACTGTTGAGAACTGGAAACCAGTGATGCATTTCCACTGTTGCTGTATAAATTGCCTGGAGCAACAGAAGCATCTTCTTGGTAACACTGTGATACGGTACTATCCTCTTGAAAAGGGATACCATGAGAACATGTGTAGACATAAGAATCAGACATAATAGTAGCATGACTATTATACAGCCCAGCGTAATTAACATTGCCACATACAGCCATATTTGTAATAAAAGTGTCAAGATTATTATTGTCTGGACACATATCAGTCATTGTCTCCTTGTCCACTTTTATGCCTTTGTTGATGCAGGTGGTTGGCAGACAAGGTTGTGATTGAGAGTAATGTTGTGGAGTATATTCAGCCGTTTGGAAACTCATAAGCCTGTTAATGATTTCAGTTCTTTCGGCAGGAGAGATTCTCTCAGAGTACAGACTATTAATGTCATCGTGTAGCTGTACTGTTTCTCTGTAAGGAGGTGGATGTCTGTATTTGTCTAATGAAGGCTTGGCTCTCTTTTCTTGTTGCATTAGATTTTGATACGGGGGTGGATGGCGATAGATCCTGTCTTGAATATTTGGTTCAGGAATGCTTTGATTGTTACAACAGTTCTCGCAATATTCAGTGTTGAGGTTCATATTTTGAATAGAATCAGTAATTTCTAAATTAACGGCACTCCTTTCTGGAGTATCAACCATGGATGAAATATCTCTTTGGTAAGGTGGACTATATTCATCAGTATTTGCAGCATGACCTGCTCCAAGCATCAGTATTCCAGCATTTTCATCTGTTGTGTCTTGTTCTTTCCAATAGTCAGATATCTGGGATTTAGATAAGACCTCTCTCGATACATCACATTCAAAAGGAAGGTTTGGAGATGAAGAACTTTTCTTCAGTTTTTCTAATAATTAAGCAGAAATATCCTTATTGCATGCAATATTGGAAGACACTTTAGTCTCCCCTCCCCTCCCCCCACTAACACCACCGCAACTCTGTTAGAGCAGTCTAACAAACCCATAACTAAAAGACAGTAAGATCAGGGAAGCAGCTCTATAATGTTTTCTCAAGCGAAGATCCAAATTCACTTTACACAACTGTACAACGGCAACCATCAAGTATCAAGGTTTCTTTCTCATCTAAACTTTATATTTAATTTAAGCAGACAAAATGAATCCTAAATTATGAGTGATAAAAACACATTGACTTCATAGTCACATAATACTAGGTGATTATAATTTACTATTAATCAAATAGAAACACGAACAAAAAGCACCGTTATACGGGGCTGACCTTGTAAGATTTTAGTCGTATCTTCCCGCTTCGTGTACTTTCCATGGATCAACCTTTCCTTCGGATTTTTTGCCTTCTCTTTTCTCTTCAGAAGTCGAAAAGGCATCTCTCCTTAAGTGATGACGCCGTTTTCGTTTGTTATGGCAAACTATGGCATTGATTTTCCTCTATTACTGGGAGGAAGATCGTAGAATATGCCGAGAACGCCGATCATCTTTAAAACTTTCAGAATGAAAATATTTACAACATTTTTCCGACGAATTGACGATCAATTATTGACTCAAACTAACGAGCCGAATGTCCGATGAATAAACGATAAAGTATCGATTGATATCTGACTAAATATTGTGTGTTGCTATGGTGATAACCAGAGTTGGTTTTATTTCGTAATGATAGGGAATGCAGTGTTCTTGATTTTCTGTTTGAATTCAGTTCTTAAAGCACTGTAATCATGTCTGTAGCGGCAGCCCAGCTTTCTAATGAGGATCTAGAAACGGAATTTCACAATGCTAAAGCATATTTATTGAAGACAAGCACTCATTCAAATCTCAATGTGTAAGTTTCAAAATGGCGAGTCAATCACACTAGCGATGGTTAAAGAATTCTAGGATTTAAAGCTGGTTTTCTCTGTTTCTTTCCTCAGTTACGACAATCTATCTAGCATATTAACTAAACTCTTAAAACAAAAGCCTGAAAATGCCACAGGTATGAAATATTTACTAACCAAAGTCGATAAAATATTAGAAATTTGTGTTATGATCTTGTACGTCTTTTAGTAAGCTTATGTTTATGATTATCGCGCTTACCTAAGACCTATTTAACAATTTTAGAACTATTGGACGACCTCGTACGAGACAGCAAACGATCAACCTTTAAACCGTCGTTTGATACTATCCAGGTACCAAAGTATTTTACTTACAGTGAGCAAAGATGATCTGAACGATTCAAAGTACTAAAACACTTTTGCTTTGCTAAACATTTAGGATCAACAAGATGACTCAACTGAAGTTCTACTAGCAAGGGCGCAGCAAACTCTCTTTGAGGTAGGAAAATATTAAATTAACTTTCAGAAGGTCTCAAACCGTTTTACTAACATTGAAATCTTTGGTGTTACTATAATAGAGAAAACCAGATTTATCATTTGTGGAACCAGAACGTGAACCGGAGTTGGATGAAGATCAGGAAAGTCCATTACCAGATATAATGGAGCTGGCCAACTACTTTGAACAAGCTGGTGTTGGATTGAGTAAAGAGGAGACATTGAGAATATTTTTGGCTCTCAAGAATCTGGTGGACAGCAACCCTATTAGGAGCTGTCGTTTCTGGGGTAAGTCCCGAAATATCCAGTGGAAGAGGTGTTAAAAGCTGAGAGAGAGGGGGGAGGTGTGCAGCAGGTGTTGGGGCTACTGTGAGAATTATGTGATGGTTTTAACCAAAGGTGGGTGGTATGTCCTGTTATGTTGAGCTTCCTGCTACCAAGGTTTGAAATATCCAGGGTAAAAATGGACTGATGAAAGTCTACGGACTGCCTCAAGCTCAAGACAATGGGAAACTCAATATAGGGTTTAAGATAATGGGATTTCCCTATTATTTTGTACTTTTAATTCATACCTCTTTTTTCTACCCAGTTACATCAAATTTAACTTTCAATTTTAACTGAATACATTTAGCTGTAGTAATAAAGCCTTTTTTTCATTTTCTTCAGGTAAAATCCTTGGTTTACAAGCAAATTACATCATAGCAGAAGTAGAGTTTCATGAGAGCGAGGATCCTTTGGATCTTCAAGAGGATGAAGGAGAAAAAATCCCTGATCAAAATGTAATATTTTGTTTTATATTAATTTATTAATGTGCCAAAAGAGATAACTGATCATCATACTATGCTTAACTTGTAGAATGAAAACCCAGATACACAACCAGATATTATAAAAGAAGGTAAAATAATTAACACTTATTAACTGGGACCGAGGGAAACAGTGTGTTTTGTGGTCCCAGGACGTTGATGTATCACGAGGCGTCCCCTGAGTATGAGAAAGATGGACTTTTGATAGTTGGTATATAACAATGTTGCTTATTCAATATTTCCAAGAGCAAATAACTTGTTATTGCTATTCCCCAACACAACTGCAGTAGTGGTACAGCTCAACCAGGTAAGAACTAAAAGCAATGCAAAGGCACCTCTGGCAGCTGCTATACAATCCATGTATGACCCTTCAGCATAGCCATGACCTGTTTCAATTAGTTAGGGTTGATTTTGAGAGAAGGGAGGAAAACCTGGAGGGCCAGAAAAACCCTCAGAGTCAGAGAAAGAAACATCAAATTCAGCTGACATGCTGTCACTTGGATACRAACCCCAGACATAAGAGGTGATATTTTTCTCTTATTCTCTCTACTTCATTATATACACACCGAATGCATAATTTATTACTACTATAAGAGGTGATAGTTGAGTGTTTTACCACCACTTCATTGGGACTCCCAAGAACACACTGTTACCATGGTAATGTCTATGATGATAGTGATCATTGTTGTACTCATTATAAAATGTTCATCAGGTGACTTCGATGTGGAAGAAGATGATATTCCTAGAACAGAGTTCAAGCCTCCTCCAGTGATTCCTAAAGAAGATAACAGGGTTGGATGCAACAAAAAGGCATACTTTGTTTGCAATGAAGGTATATCATATACATTGACAATAAGTCTTTGATGCCTTAATGCATTAACATATATTAACTTTTCCATTTGTAGCTGGTAAGCCCTGGGTAAGGTTACCTCAAGTTACCCCAGCACAGCTTGTTGTTGCTAGACAAATCAAGAAGTTTTTTACTGGAAACTTGGATGCTCCTGTAAGTTTATCATATAATATATTAATCTGTGAACTAGAAATGTTGTTCAGCTTCTAATTTCCTTAATTATTTCACACGTTAGGTTATAAGCTATCCACYTTTCCCAGGGAAAGAAGCAGAATACCTTAGAGCACAAATTAGTAGAATATCGGCAACAACACATATCAGCCCTCTTGGTTACTACATGTTTGAAGAAGAGGAGGAGGAGGATGAAGAAGGAGCTGGTAAGTCACTTTACCATGTACACTACTATTCTTGTTAATACATGTAATAAAAGTATTAAGATGAATTGATTGATTAATTCTTTTATTTTAGTACGTGACACATTCATTGTCAACCAGGAATTTGAAGGTCTCAGCATTAATGATATGGTAGACCCTGCCTGTTCTAACTGGGTTCACCATGTACAGTATGTACTTCCACAGGTTAGTCAATCAATGATTTTCATATTTTACCAACTTGTTATGCTCACATTTTGGTGAATGAAAGTTATTGGCAGAAAGTAAATCACCAGCTGTTTGAAAATTGCAAGGTAGTGTAGTCCATGAAACGAACTGCAAGAAATCTTAGAACATCTTTAAATTTTTTCAAAATTATTTTAATCAAATCAGGGGCGATGTACTTGGTTTAATCCTTCACAAAAGAAAGATGAGGAAGAATTTGAAGAGGAGGAAGAGGATGAAGAACGAGAAGAACCAGATGAACCAGAACCAGAAACTGGTCCACCATTATTAACACCACTTTCTGAAGACAATGGTGAGCATGCACTTTGATCAAGATTGTCTTTCTTTGAGTAAGGAATAATATAACCAATAAATAATATTTGTCTACAGAGGTAGATGGAATGCCCCCATGGACAACACACAAGTCATCTACTCTTGTACCTCAATATGCTATTGCTGTGATACATTCAAATCTCTGGCCTGGCGCTCATGCTTTTTCTGTTGAAAGGTAATATAGCACTATTCTAGCAATGCTTTTGGACTATTGGAAACAAATGCAACAGCTTATTATCTAGCATTTCCGTTGGATTTTGCACTGGAAATATATACTTAAACCATAATTTACTCTAAGACAATATCTTGTCCAAAGACATCACTATTCTCACATGATGCAAATGATTGTTTCCTAACAGAAAATTTGAGAACATCTACATTGGATATGGGCAAAAATACATGGCAGAGAATTATAGTCCACCACCCCCACCTGCACCACGAGAAGAATATCCAAGTGGGCCTGAGATAACTGAAGTAGAAGACCCTACTGTTGAAGAAGAAAAGGCCCTTAAAGCAGCACAACAAGAGGCTTTAGAAGCTCAAGATATGGAAGAAGAGGAGGAGGAAGAAGATGAAGATGATTAAGAAAATACTGACATTGAACTGGTTTTATTGTATATAGTTACTCCTTAATATTGTAAATATAAAATAATATCCACTGTACTTCCAAGTGTTGTAATGTGTCTAGTTTGCTATGATGGTATTTCAGAAGAACTTTGTGCAATTCCTTTTTCTAATTGCATTTGAATAAAAAATATCTTGATTGCATTGCACCTTGATAAAAGTAAACAACACTGTCTTAATCTTACATTTTATATTTCTTCAAACATGACATTCACTGCATTACTTTACAGAATAAATGAATTAAAACAAGAAAGCCAGGATAAATCAAGCTATGGGCTGTCCATGGAGTATTTTATGACATAATATTCCATTAAGAAGTGGAAAAAATTAGAGCAAAAAGTCATAAAATAAATTAAAATGTAGGAAAAAAAGTTTTTGACAAAGCTGTACAATATCTAGACTAGAGGATGTGGGTGGTTGTTATTGAACACCCAGGTCATACTAAAGGTAAGACTATTATAATAATACTTGTTGTCTTGAGGTAGCTGTATAGACTGACAGATGTTTAGATCAAGTCAGCAACTGAAAACAAACAAATACAAATTTCAGTGAATAATTTCCAAACACTGGTAGTTTGCAACCTCAGTATTTTCATTACATTTTATCCCATACTATATAACACAAAGCTTTTCTTACCATTCATTGGCATTTCATCAATCTGGGTAGCATAATACTGCTCAATGTCTCGCAAGATCCTGATATCATCTGACTTTACAAAGTTGATTGCCACACCCTTTCGCCCAAAGCGACCTGATCTTCCGATGCTGACAAAAAAATAAAATATGATAGAAATAAGATTAAAAGAAAATTTGACTTCCCTCCCACACAAACATACATCAACAGCTTACCGGTGAATGTAAAGCTCACGATTGTTTGGCAAATCATAATTAATGACAAGAGAGACTTGCTGTACATCAAGTCCTCTGGACCACACATCGGTTGATATCAACACACGACTGTGGAAAGATAAAATATATTAACACTTAGAATATTAAAAGTTGTCAATAAATAAGAGTATGTTACTGTGTGTTTATACCTTTGTCCAGCTCTAAAGTCCTTCATGATAGCTTCTCTTTCTTTCTGCGGCATGTCTCCATGCATAGATGTCACTGTGAAATTAGCTTCTCTCATTTTCTCTGTCAGCCAGTCAACCTGGAACACGACAAAACCATGATCATACTCAAAACCAGGACAGGATAAAAACATCTTGTCAAATACAAATGAAAAAATATAAAACACAGTCATGCAGGGATTGGCAGAATATGAGATAAGCATGACCTGCATGGAGTGTTTCCCAAACTTCAAGTGCTTTAAAACATCACACAGCAAAGCAGCAAGTTCTTTATTTCTTTTATAAAATATAAGTTAGACTAGCTGCTGTTTGGGACACAAATGATGAAATTGTGCTTGTGCAGTGTGCTCTCATAGTGCACATGCTAAAAACCAACCAGAACACAACATTTATAACAGTTATTTTATAATGAACTATGGATATCAAAAGTACCTTTCTTTTTGTGTTACAGAAGATAACAGCCTGTGTAATAGTAAGTGTGTCGTATAGATCACACAAGGTATCAAACTTCCACTCCTCTTTTTCAACTGCTACAAAGAACTGCTTGATTCCTTCCAACGTCAATTCATCACTGTTAAAAACATCAGACATGAAGTCCATTATGAATCAATTATAAATCAGTGGAAGTGATCAAGTGTGTAACTTACCGTTTTACGAGAATTCTGATGGGATCTGTCATAAACTTTGAAGTCATCTCAAGTATCTCATGGGGAAGTGTAGCACTGACTAAAACCACCTTCAAACAAAGCAACAGTGTAAGTATATAAACAGAAAACAATGATATGGAAAGAAACTGTCAATTCAAAGTACCTGTGTGGCTGGAGGAAGATATCTGTAAACATCATAAATCTGTTCTTTAAATCCTTTGTTAAGCATCTCATCTGACTCATCCAACACCAACATTTTGATGGATCTTGTCCTCAGATGTCTTCTTCTGATCATGTCTTCAAAAGTAACAAATAAAAACAACATAAAATTAGAGCAACTTCTTATGACACAGTGCTGCCACCAGAACTTTAACAATTATTGCTTTGAAGTTAACTGCTGGCTACTTTTTCTTTCATATAAAATACTATAAGATACTTTCTGTTTCTTATATCAGATCAGTTACTGAGCTACATTCTGAAAGCCCTGAGAGAGGTGAATACCTTTCATACCCACAAGTATTTCAATGCAGACTTACAAATTTGCATTTAAAAAAATAGATATAACTTTCAAAACTGCCATCCCCTTCATTAACAGATCAACTCACCAAAAACTCTGCCAGGAGTTCCAGAAACAACATGCTGTCCATAATCCAGTTTTCTGATGTCTTCACCAATGTTTGTTCCTCCAATACAGGCATGACACTGCACACTCATGTAGTCACCAAGGGCTAGTACAACCTATAACATATATAGGATTAAACAATGTCAAATGTGAGCTTTCATAGCATACACTTAACCACTGCTAGTATGATCATATTTATACCTTTTGAATCTGCACAGCCAGTTCCCGTGTTGGTGACAATATAAGACATTGTGGTTCTCTTAACTGAAACATATCAACGAGAACATGATATTAATGCTCTATACCGGGTCTATATCATCCATTAACAGTGCATCATGGATTCTGCATCTTCATACTACCTGGGTGTCAATGGACTGAAGGACAGAAATGGAGAAAGTTGCGGTCTTGCCTGTTCCTGACTGTGCTCTGCACAAAACATGAAACAATCACAAAGTGAGTCAAACTTTAACTATATTCTGTTGACGTTTTAGTGTCGTTTTTTCAAGGGCTTTATTTCTAAGTTGTACCACCAAACATTACTTACTGAGCAATAACGTCACGTCCTTTCATTATAGGTCGAATAGCTCGCTGTTGTATTGCTGAAGGCTTTTCAAACCCTACAAAAGGCAACAGATGGCAATAAATAACATATTTTATCGAAGAACATGAAAGATTAAGAATACGATTCACGTGGGATGGAGTAAACTGCATCTCAAACCAAGCGTCAAAACTTCTTACCATATGCATAGATACCGCGCAGTAAATCTTCTCTGAGATTCAAAGCATCAAAAGTAGGTATTACTTTCACATCTTCTGATGTTTCAAACTCGATTTTACTAAGATCTTGGTCTTCTGTTTCGTCAGTTACTACTCTTCTTGATGAACGAGCGGCCGCCATCTTGAAACGTATTTGTGAAAGGAAGTAAGCACGCACTGAATGGCATTCTGGGATACCTCATGTACCCAGCAGGCTATGCGAAGTAGCGGGAAGAGTCTTAGAAAGATGAAAAGGAGCATGGGAATTAAAAGGGAAAACACTAAAATATCCAACACTCCATTGTATGTAGCATTTACTGCACTTCTTAATCACACGCGCAAAATCCTACGGTTCTTTGGTGGACGCTAAACAAAGTGTTTCCATGGCCTTATCCATGAAAAACACCAAGTTTTGAAAAGTGCTCATGGAAAGGCCTTATTTGATGTCAGACAAAACATACTTCRTCACCACCAATAATTGTACGATTTGGCACTTGTGATTGAAAAGTGCTAAAATTATTCATACTGAGGTAAAGGAATAAATGCAAAGGATAGAAGTGAAAGAGAAGTGAAACTTTTTTGTTTTGAATTCAGAGGTTTTTATTGTATTCCTTGATTGGTTTTGAAATGCTGGATATAAACTGAAGGCATGGCACATTATGCAATAAGCTTATTCTATCTGTTCAGCACCATTCTTCTGACTGTTTAGCCATAGTGTATAACTGATGTATATTGCAACATATTCCTATAACAATAAATGCACCAACAATATGCCAGGTGTGAATTGGTAGGCTAGAGGCTGAAGCAGCCCTGCTCATCTGGACTGATTTCTGCTTTTCTTAGACATTTTTCTAGAAAATGTGGGAACACAGGTAGCCCAATTCAAGAATTAAACATTTGCTTTACTTGCTTCTTTCCTATCTGAATTTTTAATGGCTCCATGTAATATACTTGTTTAGAGTTTGATTTAAACAGCAGTTGAAAGGTTCTTTATTCCACCCTTTTTATTTCCATTCTTTCAAAGATGAATATTACCCTGATCAACAGGTAGTTGCCACATGCAAACACTTAAGTGTTCAAATAATTTACATATTGATTGTGCTATGCCTTTGAAATGAAAGATGTTGAAGACTTGTATTTTCACAAACACCTCAATTACTTGCATTACTTAAATGAATTATTTAACTCTTTACCCTCTGCATGTTTTCACCTCAGGAGGGTTTTTGGTTTTATTCATTTTCATTGGTGGTTTTGCATATTACTCATATGAGAACTAAAATAAAACACATGTATGATAAATTGTTGGCAATATCAATCTCATTATAGAAGTATTCATGAAAGCAACCAAATACTTTTGGTAGAAATTATAAATTATATTTGAAGATATTGTTAATCTATATGTAACCAGTTTTTAAGGCAACTGTACAATGATTCTCAAAATAAATGATTTTTAGGACATGTTACATGTTACTGATTGCCTGATCGACTGAAGTGCAGCGATCCGTCAAATTCTCATCTGCTTCACTTACGAAAAATAAAAATAATTTAAATGTTTATGTAATTAATGATAATTAAACACTCTGATTCAATAAAGATCACAATTTATGATAATTATGCAGTCCTGGCATCTCATGTCACGACCTTACAAAATGGGAACTTTTCCTTGAAAATTCTGATTCCTTCTTTACTGACAGCAAAACAATCAGTTAAGTCAATGGAATCTAACCAGGGCAGGGATTGTCCAGTTTCAAGCAAATGGTCATCATTTTCGATAATATCTGTAAATGATAAATCCAAGCTCATCAATCCACTCAAGTCATCGAAGCAAGATTTTAAACCATCAAATGTTAACTTGCTACATCCACTCACAGAAAGAGAGGACAGATCAGTGTTCTCACATATAAACTTGAGACCCTTGTCTGTAATATCTGCAAATCCAATGCCTAACAGTCTGAAGTCCTCAGAGGCATAGGTACCTATTGTATAGGCACTCATATCTGTTATTCTTCTATCTAGGTTATCTGCACTGTGAATAACCAATGACTCTAACTTCTGGCACTGTTGCATCAGCTTGAAGATACCTATATCACTAACTTTAGAAAACTCCAATGATAGGTCTTCAATGTTAGGAACACTTTCTGCAATCACTAAAAGAGAGTTGTCTGAAATCTGTCCATTGGAAATGTGCAAACAGCTGATGTTACAAAACTTAGCTAAAGCAATTAGCCCAACATCAGTGATTTTGTAGTCCAGATCACAGTAATCCACTACAAATTGCTCCAGCATGCGGCACTTGGTGGCTAAACAAACCAAAGATAAGTCACTTAAAAGTATTTGATTGTAACGTAGAGTGATCTCTTTTAGTTTTCCGCAGCCTTCAGCCAGAGTCATCAACATTGCATCTGTGAGAACATCCATTGAACTATTCTCATGATCTTTAAGGCAAGATTCATAAACGATCAAAGTTTCTAAGTCAGAACAAGTCGAAGCTATGGCAGTGAGTGTTTTCTGTGTTACAGCTCTTGAATAAGCATAAATTCTTTTCAAATGCGGATTATTCTTCACGACGGCCACCAGCCCTTTTGATGAAACGTTTTCCATTGGGAGTTTAACAGATAAAAGCTTGAAACAGTTTTGAGCTATTTCAATGATCCCTTTATCCGTTACTTGTTGGCAGGCCTTAATGTATAATTTTCTAAGATTAGGACAGTTTTTAGAAAGCAGTTTGACACCTTCATCCTCGATCAGTGTGCATCCTTCTAAATCTATGCTCACGATATAACTATTCTTACGGGGAACAAGTCTTCGTACAACTTCACAAGAAACCTTTGAGGCATGTCTTTGATAAAACCAAAGTTTTCGCCATAAACTCGCATCATAGCAAAGTCTTCGCCATCTTTTACATACTCGACTACTTGAAATTAATATCGGATAGCGTAGAAACGATAAAACATAGACCAGCACCGAATCGGGAAGAGAAGTGATGTCGGCCATTAGTACTGAAGAGACGTTTCTTTGTTTGATCGGCAGTTCTCGAATCTTTTGTGTTGTTCTGCATTGATTTTCCCGCGCGCGTATTGTTTAAAGCCTCGATCTGATCAAAGATATCGACCGCGCTTCTTAGAGTAACTTTCTAAGAGGGTAGGGGTGGTGCATGATTTTAGCAGAAGTAAATAAAATGTTGAAAAACTTATATAGAATCCTTAAATTAAATAGATAGACTTAAGAACAAGTATCCTAGCTTCTTCAAGTGTTCTGAGATCATTATTGTTTGTTTCTTAATAAATAATTGTAGTGTTTCTAAAAGGTACAATTACCTCACCCCAGAAAGTACTAAAGTGCCCGCTCAAATTACGTAATAACTGAGGTATGAAATTCAAGCCAGGGCTTGAAAAGGCGCCATGTTAACCCGCTCTCCGACGATGCCACATTGGTATGGAAATGTAGGGTTAATGTGGAAGTTCCCTTCACAATACTGATTCAGGTAAGCTTCAAGACAAACATTAAAGTATTTTAGACTTCAGGTAATGATGAAATGACTTCTATAACCATCTTTCGGGACAGAAAGAACACATGTTGAAAGAAGTGCTTATCTGAACACCACCACGCCACGTGCTCAAACCAGCTATTCCATTAGCTTGAATTTTGAATTTCTAGCCTTATTAACCATCATTTTTGCTTCTTAGATTAGTCCTACGGTACCCGCGATGTTTTAAATCTATGGAACATGAATAAGGCAAGCTATTTTAACGATTTTTGCCCATTTTTGCCGTCATAATTGTCTACACAATGTGTTAGGGGTTTTGGTAATCTTTTGTCCAAGATGAGACGTTATTCCTTTGATTGTGGCCTTAAAAACGGTTAAATTATACGCGGAAGTTTCATTTATTTTATTGGTCATTGAATAAGTATTCGAAGAATTGTCCACAAGAGGGTGGAATAATAGACAAATTAGAGTACCGAAGTGATGACGTCACTAAAATTGTTCTTAAAGACATATAGGAATTTGGTGACATTATCAGAAACTGCATGTAAAAATTTAACATAGTGTGAAATTTCAGACCCATAGAGCGAAAAACGGTTGATATATAGGTAATTTAATACAAAAATATCCCTAACATTTTCTCTTATTTAAGGCTGGGTCTAACGTGATTGGATCCAGTCCAAAATTAGAGAAATGTATGGGGCCTTTTGGAGCTCAAATACCCAATATCTCAATTTTTAAAGCTCAGAACAGCCTTGAAGTTGGCAGAAATGTAGACAATGGTGTGTTCTCTTCAAAACTGAATAGACCCTTTTCGAGTTCCAAATTACYGCTGTGTTTCTTGATTACAGACTCATTTGCTCAGGCTAAGCCTTGATTTTGTGAAGAATATTCACGTTTTCCAGTCAAAGTCCATCAAGTTTCAAAGTGTTCGTATTATTGAACTTGTGCATTCGTTACTGTACCGTTGGTATTTGCAAGTAATGAGACACTGATTCGAGGCTAAGCCTGAGCAAATGAGTCTAACCAAGAAACACAGCAGTAATTTGGAACTAGAAAAGGGTCTATTGCAAATTTTAAAATTTGATGACGTCACACTTTGGTACTCTATAGGAGCATGATATGACCCATAACGTCATTGATCAAAAGGATGTTCTATACATTAAATATGTCATTGATCTTATTCTTTGTTTTATTGTTTTTCAGGGTTTTTGAGGTAATTATACACCATCTATGCACCATCAGTTTGTCTAATAGTAACTAAACCTGATCTAAAACAATATTGATAGGTTATGATTGTGTAACTATTAAAGATCTGGAATAGGAATGTCTATATCACAGTGCAACACTATGATTCCTATTAATTTTCACCCTATACCTGTCAATGAAACATCCTGCCCACTTCACATTCTGGGTTATTTTTTAACAACTGTACCTATACCATGTTTCACTCAATCTCCCTTTATCTCTCTTCATTCGATGTCATTCATTTTAGATTATAAACAGTAGTAAAAATTTCTTGAATATTTAAACCAAAGTCTTACATTAAAAGTTTTACATTAATAGTATAATTATTAATATTTGAATAAAATCCAATAAACTGAATTCAAAATTAATCAAAATAATTATGTTAAAGATTAAAACATGTTTGTATTTTGAACTAATATTGTTAAGATATTAAATGAATAAACGATTTCTTATGACTTGATTGTTTTGTTGTTATAATAGTGTTAAATCATCAACCTATAAAAAAGAAATATCCCGGTTCCATTTCAGAAGGATTATTTCTTGCCCATTTCTTGTAGATGCTGGTTCTCTTATGAAGACAGTATTTGTATATTACTTTGTTTCAAAAGATTCTCCTGTGTGTACTGTTAGTTGAACATTGGTTCCATACAGACTTAGTGCTGGGTAGAAATCTCCAGAAATACCTGTAAAGGTTGGGCCTGATGGACGAGAATTGTCAGTCAAAAGTTTACCTGAAAAGATTTGAAAAACTAGATGTAAAGACAAAAAAATACCAAAGACATTTTATGACTGGGCTGCCACAGGCTACCCAGTAATAAGTTTGAATTAGATTGAAATGATCGATATATCCATGAAACAATCACCAATTATTTATTGTGTAACAGTATTTAGTTATCAACTAAGAATTCACTCAGGTTAAGCATGAAATGTGTCAAGCAGTGATTATAAGGTGTCTACTGAAACGAGGTAGGAAAAGTGTGAAAGTCTTAATGGGAGGGGGGGGGGGTAGGAAGGGACAGGAATGGAAAGGTATACAAACAGGCAACTGCTTTCATTAGTATATGAACTAGATATTGAGTTGGAATTTTTGAACTGATTCAGTGGCTTTATTCTATGGCTGCTTCAAATTTTTGATGGTTAATGGTTCATCTTACCATTGAAAAAGATGTTGAGTAATCGACTGTCCAAGTTGAGTAATACTCCAATATTGCTGTTCGTCATTTCGTCTGATGTTTTCTTTATTTGAATCCTGTTTTTGGTATTAATGCACGTGGTTGTAGGATGTTCATTGAATTGCACTGCATAGGAATGGGTGTCCTCACCCAAGATAGGGTCATCTAATATTCCACGTGCAATACCAACACCTAATGAACAATAATAATTATTTTAAATTTATCATTTATTAATATCCCTTTAATAGAGTACATTCTACCTTCGCGTTAATGTTAGTTACCTATGATTGACAGCTGATTGGGGCTGTTAAACACATCAACATGGACTCTCCAATAATGACAGCCGGTAGTCAGTTTGACGTTCCCAAGGATGAAAGTATACATGGGACTTTTAAGTGCAACAGTACAGTGGTTTTCTGAAATGTTCAGCTCGTGATTGGCAGTTGCTGGGTCCAGCTGGAAATACAGCCCTATGTGGAAAGCAAGCATGACTCGCCTTTAGTTCATAAGATTAGATGGGATTAGACATGAGAATATAAGTCACAGGTAAAGATACCTTTAGGTGTTGAGAGAACCAAGTCATTACTAGGAGTGCCTTCTCCGGCCATATTCATGCCAAATACCCGACCTATGATCTTCATATCGTAAGCCACGCTGGATATGGAATGTTCTTGTAACGGACCTTCGTACACACGCTTGAACTTTCGATCTTTTTTCTTTTTGTTTACATACTCGGATGCCTTGACAACATCAACTTCTAGTACATAATAGTCTGTTGGGCACTTTGATGGAGGGGGGTGCCATCCAAAGCGTACTGTAGTATTGGTGACTTTACAGATGTCCTTGTTGAATGCTGGGGCATCTGAGTAATAGATTAGGATATTAATACAGTACTTTCACATTTCAAAAAGTATGTTCACATGTTTTTGTTCCTTTTTCTAAATTCCTTTTGTCCTCCCATTCCCATTCTGGTTTTGTAAATATGTGAATTGAATACTCTTGTGTTCCCTTACAGACCTGGAGGAGAAGGAGTTTCTATTCCTGTCGTGAGACTCATCTCTATGTTGGTACCATATAGGCACAGTCCTGCACAGAACATTCCTCTAAGCCCCTTAAAGCTTGGTCCCTTAGGAGATGTGCTGGTTTTCTGTAACTCCCCATCAAGGTAAACATTCAAGACTTCTTTATTCAGATCAAGAAGAACACCAAAGATGCTGCCTTTGATGTCGTTGGCTTTTTTCTTGAGTTGAATCTTGTTCTTGGTGTTTTCTGTCCTCACTCCAGTTTCTGTAAATACTTGAAGCGCGAAGGAACTAGAGTCGTTACCAAGAATAACTCCTTGTACCGGCTTCCTTGCGACCCCTGGAGGAAAGTACAAAGGTTAGGGTGAACCCGCGGTCAGGTTAGAGTGACCCCGCGGTCAGGTTAGAGGGACCCCGCGGTCGGGTTAGGGACAGTTTTCTTCAGTTTCCCGCCTTGCTGTACTCCTAGTACTTTCATGTACACAGGGCCTTTTCTAGTAATTTTACCGAGTGAACCTTAGGCATAAGTGCTCCTCATGTTTCTGCAATGTTGCAGCTCTCGACTTATCATATATGTAACTAAAAAACTTTATCCTAAAAGCGGTATAAAAAGAGGCAACAATTTAGCTCAAGCACTTCAAACTGTTCGTTTGTGTGTGTGTGTGTGTGTGTGTGCGGGCGGGGGGGATTTCTTACCGACTGCAATAAACCCATTTTTTGGATTTAACTTTTGAAGTTCTACGGTCCAGTAATGACAGCCATCAGCAAGGAGCGCATCTCCAAATACGTTAGCATGCGTAGCCACATGCTGGACTACAGTCTTGTTTCCTCGTGACAGTTTAAGGGAATCGTGAATGCTTTCAGGGTCGAGTTTAAAGATCACTCCTGCAATTATCCAAAACCAATTCACAGTAGTTTAGCTTGATAAAATCTTAGTTTAGTGTTGGCTACAAAAAAGCCAGTTGATTGTCTGAAGTGTGCCGGTGTGTAAAGGTGCATGATAGAATACCTCTCTCTGTAGACAAGGAGACTTCATCACTTGGCTCACTTTGTCCAGCGGTGTTTACAGCTATGACACGTGCGACTACAGTAACATTGTATTCCAATCCACGAATAGTGTACTTGCAACGTGGTCCTTGATATACCTGTAAGATATGAGACTGAGACGTCAATCACAAGCTGGTACACACTCAACTACTAAGTAACCTCACTTCATGTAATTACCTTTATAAACATTCTTTTTTGGTGAATATCCCCCTCCCGATTTAGGATATCAGCCTCTAAGATGTAGCAGTCGACGTTGCAGTTATCAGGGGGGTTCCAAGCAAGGTTTATTTTTGTGTTGTCTACTGAACAATCTTCAAGAGTGATGGTTGGAATCCCTAGAAATTATGAAATAAGACATTAGTTACATTGGAATCAACACTGAGAAATGTAAGAAAGGTAATAAGGTTGTCAGTGTAAGGCTGACCTGGACACCGTGTTGGTAGTTCTAAGCCAGACTGGATACTTGTTTGAACAGATGTCCCATATAGGCACAGTGCTGGGTAGAATGTCCCAGTTATACCTACAAATGATGGTCCTTTAGGACGTGTTTCGTCTGTCTGTAGTTTTCCATTCAAATAGATATTCATCTTACGCTCGTCTAAGTCCAAAAGAACTGCAAAGTTACTTCCTTTAAACTCTTTTGATTTTCGTTTGGTTTGAAGCCTATTGTGAGTGTTTTCGCACCACATGCTTGTATTCTCGAAGACTTGCAGTCCGTATGAACCATCATGGTCACCTGAAATCATATATTATGTATGGCTAAACCCTGTAATATATCTAGCACATGGTCTTAACATTTATGCGTTATGTTATGTGGGAATAATGCATGTTTAACTTTTTAAGGCTCAAAAAATGGAAGCACCTCATTTCCCGCGCGCAGGTATATCTTGATACTATTTATTCACGACATTCATGCAGGTAAAGTAAAGTAGCATACTAAATATACTACGTAAGAAACGACTAACACTGATGGTTTGGTCACGTGTAAGGATTCTACTATTCAGAATTCCCCGCAGACGTCTACTTCGGAACCTATTGGGAGCACGAAGGCGTGGACGAGAAAGAATGAGGTGGAGTGACAACGTGAAGGACTATCTCGTTCAAAGAAGCAATAACGATTGCAAATGAAAGGAAAAAGTGGTCAAGCCTTGTAAAGGCACTATGTGGCATCCAGCCATAATAGCATCAGCACAAGAAGAAGAACAAGAACAAGAACAAGAAAAAGAAGAAGAAGGAGAAGAAAGGTAGCATGGATTGATACGTACCTAACAGACTTGCTTGCACAGCGGTTCTTGCTATACCTACAGCTACATAACCTGAATAGTTCGTGGCTCCTTGGAACAGATCAACTCGAACTTTCCAGTAGTGACGTCCTGTGGTAAGACTGACGTCACCTAGAACCACAGAACTGACTGGTTTGGTTAGTTTAGCGATTGTGAGGTCACGTGAGAACACCAGCTCACGATGCGGAGAAGAAGATGGATCAAGCTTGAAGTACAGTCCTAAAAACAGAACATGGATATCGCGTTATCTCTAGTACACCAATAAAGATAATGATGAAAATAGTGATGACTTGCTGTCTTACCTTTACCGGCTGTTAAAGTAAGTTCTTTGCTAAATGGACCATCTCCTGCACGGTTTGACGCCTTTACCCGCGCAGTAACCTTGGCGTTATACCGGCTACACTCGATTACATACCGGGTATTAGTTGCCGCGGTATTGACTTGTACGATATCTCGTAGCTCGTCTCCTTCGGGAAATAGAGGGGGGTTGATGATTTCTGCCTTTAAATGATAGGAATCCACTGCACTATTGGGCTGACTCCATACTAGATATACTGACCTGTTTTGGGCTTTACATTGAGATGTAACAAATGATGGGCTTCCTGGGCAAAGCAACATCGAGCAAATCATGAGTACATAAAACACTGGTCAGGCTACCTTTATTCTCAGTGACTGCGGAAATTTAACGAGGGTCTGGAACAGTCTAATATCTAGCAAAAGAAGGAGACATGCGCATTTTACCGGGTTCTTGTARCCAATCAAGTTTCTTCAACATCTTTCTCTCCCATGACGTATCTACGGCCATGTGGTCGAAGGTCGGATCAAGGGAAGAGACTTGTGGTAAATCTTTGATGGCATCCAGCATAAGACGCATTCTGTAAGTACAGCAAATGGTTCTTGCATTGAGTTAGTCTAATAATTGATTGATTTATAACATAATCAAGGCATTGAGACCAAAGCAAGTGAGGGAAACATGTGTCTTTTGTACCTCGTTGTTAGAGCACTTGATGTCTGGAATGAGAAAAGAACAGACATATAAGGACCAAAATTTGTCATCGTTTGTGTTGTAAAAGTTCTTGTAAACACATAAAATGTTTGTCCATTACCTGCAGAAACGTCACTGCATTGTTTTCTTTCAACGCTTCCTCAGAGAACTCTACAAGCCCCAGTGACTGCTGCAATGTCTTATCACAACGACGAATTGTTTCATGGAGTTCGTTAAGTTTGTCATTATAAGCTGAATTAATATATTCTAAAAGCTCTGCTTTCTTCTTTTCTATGATCACCAGAAGCATATCACATTCCTTCTTCACGTGAGCTTCCACATCGCTACCTGATTTCTAATGGTCAGAAAGGACATTTGCATGTTAGAGAAAGTACTATATTGTCAGAGAGGGACTGGTATAGCAAGGGTTTACCTTTGCCACAGCACACATTCCTTCAAAGGATTCAATCAGTTTATGAGTAGAGTTATTGTGTTTCACCAGATGTCTCAGAATTCTCGCCATGTCATCCTGTAACACAAACAGAACAACCTTCAAAATGTTTTATCAGATATATAAACTCATCTCTATATAACATCTTAAGTAATACCTTCGTCTTCCTAAATACAGCTTCYAACAACTCCACTCGATGTTTCTTATGCTCGCCGAACTCCTTGCACATGTAGCACACTGCCTTCTGACACTCATAACAGTAGAGAGCTACTTTCTCTTCTTTATGTTCTTGACATGTTACATTATTCTCTTTGCTCTTAACGGTCTTTATTTGTGGGGGCCCAATCGTATGGCCAGATAAAGGACCCTTCATAGGATGGTACGTATCAAAACATGTCCCACAGTACGCGAAGGTGCATTCGCTACACATGACATTCGCCTTCCGTGGTGAAAAGTCTTCACAAAACTGGCAGACTAATGGTTCTTGATCATAGCTACTTCCTGTATTAAGAATACGTTCAAACGAAGTCAGCAACGTGTAGCAGTTTTAAAATCAGCAAATTTTCATTCCTGAGGATCTTTGCGGTTATTTAAACCACATAAGTGAGAAAACTGTTCTCGTTAATTATTGATTAAAGCAGATTATTTTATAATTTGTATGGCCTCACTAACTTCGAATAAATCAATCAAAGTTGGAAAAGAAATTCAAGCAGTAATTTTAATCTGTGCACTCTGAATAGTACAAGGAGTATTCACAGCAGATCTTCTTAAGAATTCAACATCTTAACTTCTGTCTTTGGCAATACAGTTTGGATACTCAATATTGTATCATCAGTTTTTGTTCTAAGTTTGATTAGATTTAAATATAGTTCTACAGACTGATCATTACCTCTTGTGGTTGTTCTTTCCTCTTTAAATCGTTCGATTACATTCTCCAGGATTAGGTTCCTTTGAAGGGCAGCAACTCCTCTTGGGTCCACAGGAAATGTTTGTCGACATGTTGGACATCTTACATCTGGTTGAAGGTGTGATTTAGTACAACTAGACTTGTTCTCAACCACCCAGTTAACCCAGTCTTGAGATATTCCCCGGGGTTTTAGAATTCTTCTGGCACATGTAGTACATAAATTATGCGAACATGGAAGTACGACCGGTTGTTTAAAAAGATCGAGACATACGGGACAAGTAAGCTCCCCTTCCATCATCAATCATCTTGTGGTTTTGTATCGTGAATTTTTTTTTATTTTGTAACATTCTTGTTGCCATTAGCAACCACAACAGAGAGAGTATACATTTCATATTGCACGGTGCTCATCATTGGCTGGTGTGTAGTGTGAGTTGGTAAAGCGAATCAAATAACAATGTTAAATAAAGTGCACTGTTCTCTATTCATTTGCATTTTTGGATTGGACTGAATCAAATAAAGAACTGTAGATAACGGTCCTGTAAGCCCATCAGCAGTAGCACGGAATATATACTAGTTAATAAAGGCGTACGGCTTATGCCTTTTCTAAATTTAAAGAGCAAACTTCGATCGTTTGCACTAGAATACGTGGTTTTTGAAGTTTCACTAAATCCCCGTGACAGTGGTGTACATATTCTAGCCATATTAATCAACTATAGTATTTTCAGCATGCCGCTTACTGAGAAATTAATATGTATTTTCCAATCAATTATATTTTCTTTGTAGATACCAGAGGTGTCAGAGGTGAAACCTTTCAAGATTTCCTATTGAAAATAAGTCAGAAGTGAAAGCTAAGGTTCCTGATATGTTCACTGACGAACATGGCGAAATGTCGAGTTCCAGTCTGTTTGTGACTTCATGACATCAGTTAATTATTTGGGCTGTACTCGGGATTACCAAGCCACCATTGAGTGGTAGAAGAGTGGGAAGAGGAGCATCGATGTTCTTGATTATGAATAGAATAGAAACCAAAATTATCATCATACATATATCGGTTTAGCTTGTTCGACCATAGCCTTTGGCTGCCTTGTCTCCCATCCCACTGACATCCTTCTATAGATCCCAGTCCACTGTCTACAAAAGCATGATATGGACCTTGATAGCAATGAGTTGTACATTCGCTACAGTTGATTCCTCGTACGTTAATGTACTGCACATGCGCACAAATGGTTCCACTTGCATGCATGATGATGTCAAAGTTGGTCAGCAAACCTCGAATGTAGTCTCGCGTGAGGAGCCCATCAGTCTCGTACTTACATGTGGCTCTAAAGAGAGTCGAGTTACTTCTGATGTGCAGCATGACCAGGCGAGACAGGCGGTAGTCAGTCCAGTTAAAAGTACCCGTTTGGTTGACAGGAAAATCCGTGGTGAACGATTTGGCTTGGTACTTTAACATATTAGCAAAAGCAAACGACTCTATCAGAGTCCAGACAAAACCTGGTTGTGAATGGAAATCACAGTAAACATTCATCTTGTTGCCAGAAGGTAAAGTGATGGGATAAAGTCCAGAAACAAGTCCTTTGCCATGCGCGGCACACGTCATGGGCTTCTCGCACATTCTGCCTGTGAAGATCCCTGGGATACAAAGGCACTGGAACTTTCGCTTGACGTCATCACACTGCTCGATACAAGTTCCTCCATTGAGACAGGTCACAAAACTACAACAGCCATTTCTGCAATGTCCCGTGCAAACTGATGGAGCATTCTAGAAAGAAAGAGCAAATACCCCATCATTACCAAATCCGTGTCCAGATAATGTAGTGCTCTTGAAAATATCACGCAACTGATGGGCAATATTTTACCTGGGGCAGTGAAATCCTTTGTTTGAGTTCGTAGTACTTGTAGCCAGTTTTCCGTTTGAAGTCTATTGGTGCTGTRTGTCTGTCCCCGTCCAGCAACTCGCAACGTTTGCCAAACAGTTGATAGGACACGCATGCGCAGTCCATCACGCAGATATTGAAACACTCTTTGATGTTGGAGGTCGTGACGTTTTTATATGAATGTCCCAGGAGGGCGTGGTCAGACACGTGGTTATCAGCCTTGAAGGATCCTGAGTACCTTACAGCTGGACAGATGTTTTGATTGGCAGTTACCATAGCAACGTACTGAGTGATAGTTAGGGCTAACAAAAGAGCTTCCATATCTGTAGAGATATTGTAAAACGGCAAGAAGCAAAAGCTATCAAGATTCTGTTATGAATTCTTTCGAGTTTAACTTGATAAAAAATATATATATATAAAACCAAAACCTGTCACTTTCTAATCATCGTTACTGCTCTTGGCTAGCTTGTAGCAAAAAATATTTACATAACGATATACTGTAATACTGATCTAAACAAACTATTTTGTGATTTTAAATATATTCAGTGTATGTCAATCTTATTTTTAGCTCTAGTTAATGAGGATAGTTTCATAAAAATAACAAACTGAACTGACACAGCATGTCTTCTAATCAACCCGGTGTCACCCATAAAGTTTGGGATATTTACAGAACTTTTTGTTAACTGAGTCATTTTTATACACAGGCCCGTAGCTAGGATTTTTGTTAGGGGGGGGGGGGGTGCTAATTTACAAAAAGTGGACCAACCATATACTTTATTTTCTAAAAGTCCCATAGGACGCATAGGTATAGATAAATTATTAAAGTAAAATTGATTTGTTTTACTTAGTTTTACTTGAAAATATCATACCAGCCAAAATCTCACTTGCTTAAAAAGCAGACCTTTAGCTCGCGTGGGGGGTGCGAACGCACCCCCTGCACCCCCCCTAGCTACGGGCCTGATACATAACTGGTTTAAAAACCTAAAGAAGCCCTATGTAAACTTTTATGTGTGTGTGTGTCCTGAGCTCAAAAACAGAAATGGGGCCTCGCTACCCCTCGCAACTGTGATCGTGTGTGGGTTCGATCGATCCCCGGGACTATGCCATTCGTTTTTTAATCCCACTCATCGCACTTGTTGTTTTCATCTGATACCACAATATCTGTGGTATAGAGAGCATGCCATATATCCGTAACACACTTTCTAGCTATGTATAGTGAATAAAAGTATTAGAGTGAAGGCATTTAACCCGTGAAATAAAACATGTCAGTCGATGTGTAATAGTCAAATAGACACAATAGAAAAACGTCAATGGAATTAGGGTCTACTAAAGTGTATTAGTCTAATATCTATTTCACGTGTTTAGTGACTTCACTCTAATAGTCATATACTATATTTAGTTGTAAGATAGCTAAAAATTCACTTAGGTATGAACCAAACAAAGACGTATTGAGGTATTTGCTCTTGTTGCCAATGTTGATTGATTAGATTTATCAACATTATTTTTGTGAATGTTTGGCTGTCATCTCGACAACATCATCAGGTCTAATGAAAACTGTACCCTAAGGGTATAGGGTATAGTAGAGTTTATAGTTTTCATTAGACCTGATGATGTTGTCGAGATGGCAGCGAAACCTTTCAATATTTATCGGACCAAAAGACTAACTCACCGATTTACCAACCTCCTTAATTCCTGAAGTGGAATACTGTGAATACTGAAGTGATATAGATAGTCGAGAAAACAGAGTTGTGTTCAAATCCGAATCAAATCCTGTGTCTGCGTGGCCGTGTTCAATCGATATAGTCGCACTGAACTAAAATTGAACTAAAAAGATATAACTAGCTAAAAACTAGTGTCGAGTTAGATATAACTAGCTCTCACTAGTTTTTAGCTAGTTATATCTTAAAATTGAACTAGATGAAATACCGAAAAATAAGAAGATCTACATGCTGTTTGATTGACAGAGCTCGATTGATTGACAGCTGTTCGACCAATAGAAAGACAAGTCAATCTTCAGGGACTCATCTTCGGAATGAAGTGCAGCGCCGGATCCAGGGGGGATCGAAGGGGTACAAAGAACCCCCCTTGAAGGTTTGATCTTTTAGGTAATAGAAATATGTCTTATATAAATTTTGCTTAAAAGTATCCACAAAGATAATGTTGAACACGAAATGATARATATTTGCTGTTATAATGTTGAATTTACCTTTAAGTTCCGTTACTAGATAGTACTGAAATTAGGTGATTAGAGCCAATTTTTTGTCAAACATCGACTAAACAAAAGAGAATTATASACAGTTTAAGAAACGGAACCCCCCTTTGAAAAATCCTGGAACCGCCACTGAAGTGAGCTTTTGTGAATTAGGCCGTATGAACGTTGACGAATATTGGAGAAGGAAAAGTGAGAGTGAGTTTAAGATGCAGGATTTTTTATAATTTGCCTTGCTTTTGAGTTTGTGTCCATTATAGGAGAAACAGCAGGACACCATCGTTTAGTTGATTAGAAACCCTGGGTTGTCCTGCTTTCCTTGACGACTATCCGCTATGATTTAATCCCCCGACATAAACAGCCACATTCTGGTTATTTTTTTAAATTATTATAACTGATTAGATTTAACACTGGAAAAATTTTCCACTTTACACAGTTTGTAAAGCTATTTATAATAATTATAACTTACTTTGAAAAATAATTAAAATAACCTAGTTATCATACTAACTACGATGATAATGGTTGTTTCTTGAGGTTTGAAAACTCTTCTAGGATAAATATATTGAAGGCTGAACTGAATATAGCCTAAAACTGTTCAGTGTCATAGCAGGTCCGTCGGGTTCCGCAGGATTGAAATAGGGACATTTTTAGTTTCTCTTCAGTAAAATTGACCAGTATATTTCTTATTCCCTCGAAGTGGGTGATTTTTTTGTGAATTTTTCTTTTTAAGTAACAAAATCAATAATTTTCTGTTTGTCTAAATATACTATTGTGAAAAATGTTTTGAACAAAACAGCACACGTTCTTAGTCCTGCAACAAAGCCCACACGGGGTGACGGCACGTGGCTCTACAAATGTTTGGAAATGAGATCAATTAACCGATAAACGAGAATAGTTTTAGCTCTTTCTCAGAAATACGGCGGAAGCCGCGATGTAGGAGTTAATAATGGCATTCCGATACAGTTGAAAATTTGTATTGTATTTTATTTTTAGAAGGTAGATTTCAGAATCGTTTTCAATTTTTATCGATGGCGAAAATTGCGATTACACAATATACACCAACAACGTTGTCAAATAAAAATAACAAATAGAAACCTCATTATTTTTTAGCAAAACTGGTGTAATTATTTCACTGTTTTAAAGCCGGTTTAGACGGACATTTTTGATATAAAGACTAGGCTGATGAAAACTGAATAAAAAGCATTTTATATATTATCTTTAAACCTATGTGAATCCTTTGGATTCTTAAAATGCCCGTTGTCATCGTTGTTTTCTAGTTTTTATATTCTTCATGCCTCTGCCTCTGCCTCTGCCTCTGCCTCTGCCTCTGCCTCTGCCTCTGCCTCTGNCTCTGCCTCTGCCTCTGCCTCTGCCTCTGCCTCTGCCTCTGCCTCTGCCTCTGCCTGCACCTATACAAACTGAACTCCTTTGGAGCAACAAATGCATGTAAAAAAGACGAGTGATTTTAATTTTTTATAGGTAATTCTTTTCTTTTTTCTTTTTTTCTTTTTCTATTTGTACATGTAAAAAGTATTAGGGTTTTACCGAACTGTATTTTTGGTAAATGGATAAATAGATTTCTAAACAACTTTGTTCTTATTCAGCCAATCACATATCACCTTTTTTCATTAAAACCAATAAGAATTCAAAATGAGACACGTGTTAATTTGGCGCTAATTGTTGGCGCGGTTCATTAAAAACAAAAGATTCAAATGTTCATGCGAGAGTGAGTCGGTAGGACGTGTATTCAAAATCTCCCAAAATATGGAAACAGAATTACTTTGTCCAGTCTGCCATAAGCCTTTCACATGCCCTGTCTTTCTACCCTGTGCTCATAGTGTGTGTATGAGCTGTACAAAAGCTATTTCAACCACAACTGCTAGTGGCCATGGAGATAACACTAAGAATAGCGAGCACAGCGAGCAACGTGAAGTTGGAGACTCTTTTTCAGATGATTCAGGTTATGTTAGCGCTTATGACCTGAATCACTTATATCAAGCTATTGGCAATATCCCCTGCCTTAAATGTCCCGTGTGCAAGAAAATGTTCCCGCTAGACAGCAGAGGAATAAGTGGATTCCCTCGCAATCGTCTTCTAGAAAACATTGTCAATCGACATTACGCCAAAACGAATGGGAATGTTCACTGTCAGTTATGCGAGAAAGATCCCCCAAGACCTGCAACTGTGATGTGTGAACAGTGTGAAGTAGTTTATTGTGATGATTGCTGTAAAATCTGCCATCCAAGCCGTGGTCCTTTGGCAAAGCACAGCCTAATTCATCCATCTCATTCTAAGTCGTCCGCTAGAAACTCCATGATCAAGTGTGGTGACCATCTTGAAGAACACAACAGCATGTACTGTGTACTGTGTAGGATTCCCATTTGCTATGTATGTATAGAAAAAGGTCAACATAAGGGCCATGAGGTGAAAGCATTAGGAGCCATCTTCAAGGAGCAAAAGGTATATAAGCTTAGATATATAGATATTAGTAAATTGGCTTTGCGCAAACTGCTAATGTTCGTCTGCTCTTATTCGATTACACACACACACAAAAATAAATACCACCTTATTCTTATTTTATACTCGCCAATTATCAAGAAAAATATTGTGGAAAAGATATCACCATAGCTCAATTTTCAGGCCGTATTTTGCTAATATTTGATGATAAATGTGGGCTTCGAAGTATGTAGCCCGTCAAGAATTAATTTTTCACAAGCGTCGCTAGTCAGATCTTGGCTGACCAAAGCCCTTCTAATTCAGTCATAGATCCCAAAACCACAGTGATCTCGAGATGGAAACAAAAAAAATCTTTTGAGATTTTATGAAACGTAATAAAGATCGAAGACTGACGGCGAAGATTCTTTGTGCATCTGTTAAGTGTAGCTAGGTTGTGGTTGGGAGGTGAGGAAGCTGCATAGACTAGAATCTCACTTTACAAATAATTGAACAACCTTCTCACTGGCCCAACTCTAAATCTTTTTTAAGCCACTGGTTTACAGCCCATATACACCTACATGATTGCTTTTTCCATAGATTTTATGACGAAATTTACAGGTTTTAAGGTGTCTCTGTTTTGCCAGCGTAGAAAGGAAAAAATAAAGTAATTTTTATTTTTCACATTTGAACATGAATATTGAAAAGATTTCTTTACAAATATGAGAATTCAAAGGATGTGGTTTAAATATTAGTAAAAAGAATTAAATTTCCATTGATTCCCTTGAGGATAATCATATTTCAATACTTTAACTATTATACAATGAAATCCAGACATCATTCCTGGGATGGATCATGATGAGTTGGGTGTTCCCTGGATTCAAGAGGTCCTTTGAATACTTTCTTCGTAACATTTCTATATTTTGCTTTGGCAACACATTAACTATTTATACTTGAGTATGTGATGTACATGGAATTTATCATTCGTCAAATATGTATAATGGTATATAAATAAACTCACATGGGTCATATTTAATATAGCTCAGACATCTCAAAATCCTAATGGCTTCAGGAAGAATTTCTTTGAGCAATTATTAAGCATTTATTTATCTCAGTTATATCTTTCTTTATTCTACAATCTCCATGATATTATTTATTGGTATATTTTCAAATGATTTTCTCATAACCAGTTAAGTGAGATTTCCTAGGGGGGATAATGTAAACATGAAAGGTTGCATTATTTACGTGGCCTTTTAAGTATTACACGATGCATCAACCAATAATATTCAAGGAGTTCCATGATTATTTTTGTACATAATCTTTTGATTGAATTTAAATCGAAGGTCATTGCCAAGGCCGCCCAGATGATGTAATTTCCTGTACATATTTTTACAAAGTGATAATGTGCTGGGACATTAAAGTAAAAATTATATTTTATACTACATGCATGTATTCTAACAATATCATGTATCGTTTTATATGATCATTACAATTTATCTTTTTGATTCCCATTTAGCCTAGTGAAAGGGTTAAAGAAAATATTATTTTAGATCATTATAATCTTACTTTAGGAAAGAACTATAACTTATCTATATTTCTATTACTTTAGGAAATTTAAATTTAATGTCACTATTTCATGTTTGAAATGCAAGATTAATAGACTTATTTAGACCATTTTTCTTAAGGGATTGAACTTGCATAGGTCACTCCCTTTTTTTAAACTAAACAATATTTCAGACAAAATGGTCAAGAAAACATAGGCCAATAATATATTTTTGTTCTTGTGATGACAGGGAGTTGTATCAAGCAATATCTTGATGTTGGAGGAAAACAGAAATAAAGTTCATAATTATGTAAACCATTTACATGAAACCTCAGCAGTAATACWGGTATGTTTATGTCTCATTACAGCATATAGTTACCTAGCTGCATGGAAGTATGAACATTAGGAGAAATGTCCAAAATACTAACAAAAAATCCTTAATAAACATTGTGGAGTCAAGTGTTGAGCCACTCAGTCCTACTTTCAAAATATCAGACTCACAGCATTCTATCTACATGAGTCAATTTATATTCTATAAAATGTCACTGTAGGTCCTGGGTGTCAATCTATTTACAAGCTCACAGGATAATCATGCCCAAAATCTCTCAAATGTACTTAATTGGTACAAGATGTACAATCTTTTGACCCTAAAATCCCTTGCTTACTCTGAGTTCTTTGAGACTGATTTAAGCTGTCTCAGGGCTCACAAAATTCCCAATTTGAGAAATAGCTTATAAAGCATCAAAACCAAAAAAACCTGATCCTGCCCTGGATCAAATATTGCACCACTGGCAAACGTAATCCTTCAATTGCATAAAACACTGACAGTGTCAATTCCAACTTCAAAAATAGTTTTGCTAGGGCTTACAGAACTTACATTTAGGTCCAGAAAAACACTACAAAACCTCAAAAGGTCTATTAGTCAAAGTGTTAATGATTGTATATCACATTACACTATTATATGTAATATATACAGTATGAGTGGCCATGTCGTATCTGATATACAAACTCGAGGCGTAGCCGAGAGATTGTATATCGGATACAACATGGACACGAATACTGTAAATTGCTTATCAAACGTCTAGGTTAGTTCCTTTGTGTTTAACTAATATTTTCAAAATTAAAGTGAATCTGCCCAAGAAAACCCAACTTAAAGTTTATTCAAATGAACACGATTCTGTATCTGATTTACAACACTCTTCACGGTCGTGATTTCTGTTGTGTTTTCCTCATGCATTATTAATGAGTTTGATAAGGTACTACATACTGCCCCCCCTTATTTCCAAGGTTATGATTTACTTATTATAAAGTCTTTTTGATTGTATGTGATCTCTTTATGTTAAGGAAAATGGACTTGAGTTTGAGGCTATTGTGGTTGCACAGTGTGATTCACTTATCCAGTTCATAGAAGCCAAAAAAACAGAGCTTATTTACTCCATATCCAAGGAGGTAGAAAGCAAGTTGGAAAATGTCAAGCAGCAGGTTGCTGGCTATGAAAAGAGATTAAAAGATGCGACATCTTTATTAAACTTTTCACGAGAAGCTCTCAATGAAGCTGATCCTGCATCTTTCTTATTGGTAATGTACTAATATAATATTTACTTACAAAATTGGCTGAGGGTTATAACTAGTCAAGTTTTAATTATTTGTATTGTTTCGGTTTCATTTTCCTCAAACTTCAATTCACTTAATTAATTGACTTTTTCAAAGCTTTTCACATTTTCACTTTTTTACTTCAGGTTTCTAATGCACTTATTCACAGGTAAGCAAAATGATTTTAAACTTAGAGCAGTCGTTTTACATGTATAAGTAAGAAAGGACAGCTTATTTGTAGTTAAAACACAGCTGCAGTGGTAAATGGGCTCATGTGATTGGATAACTCAAGAGTCAATGGGAAAGCACTTTAATATTAAGGAGGTAAATTGTTCAATATGTGTCCAGCTAGAGGTCAACCAATCAGAACTGAGGATTTGACATAATACTTTGATTAGCAATCCTCAAGATTCTGCCAAGAAAACCCATGAAATACAAAATTTCTAGCAGTTAGTTTTTGGTTATTTCTCCCTAGAATGTCAGCTGTGTGCAATCAATGGGAAAGTGATGGCTTGCACACTAAACCACAGAGCTTTGAGTTGGATTTAACATTAGACACCTCAGTTGCCAATCAAGCTATACAAGATCTACAGTTTATTGAACTAAAAGGTATGAGATCCACAGTTTGAGAATRAACTCCCCTCTGGTACCATAATAATAATGATTACAATAAAAAAATTTAATATTATACTAAAGTGAACTTTAAACTAGAAGCTGGTTTTACAAAGTGCTTTTAACGTACTGGCATCCACTGAATTGAAATAACACATTTTTAAACAAGCCGTGGAACTATTGCAGATCGATGTACCAATATAACGTAATCAGATAATCTGGAAAAAATCCCTGATAAGAATTACACCCTTTTTCTTTTAGATACTGGCTGTTCTGATGTTGTACCACTGAAGGGATTACTCTGATATTACTCATTCAAATCCCTCTTATTCACTTTATACTTATACACTAGAGTATCTATTCATACATTATTATAAATGACAGTGCAGGACAATTTCTTATTCATGGCTGCCTCAAAGCCAAATGAAAACTAAGAAATCAAAAATTAAAATAAAAGGCCATCAGTTAACTTGTTAGATACCAGTTTTATTGATTTTCATTGAATTGTTTGTTTGTCCTTCAGCTCCTTGTGCTCCAGATATCATACCTGATCAATGCAGTGTTACCAACAATGCCATAACTCTTTGCTGGAAGCCCCGCAAGCGTACCTGTGTAGAGGGGTATGTGGTGGAACTTGATGATGGTAGTGGAGGGAACTTCATTGAAGTGTATCGTGGTAATTCATTGGAGTGTACTGTACAGGGTCTTCAGTTTGATTCTACGTACAGGGCTAGAGTTAAAGGTGTAAATACAGCAGGAGAAGGAGCGCCAAGTGACGAAGTCTATCTCACTACGTCTGATAGTAAGTTGAAGATACTAACTTTATTATTAATTAAAGAGTGTAAAGCCTGGTTTTCATGAGCAACGCAAGCACAAGTGCAAGTATAAGAGGCCTTATTTCATCATGAAAACTGTCCAACGCAAGCACAAGCACAAGGATCAAAACTTTTCCTTTTTGTTGTGCTTGCACTTATGCTTGCGTTAGACAGTTTTCACAATGAAATAAGGCCTTGTGAAAACCAGGCTTAAAGGCTATAGAAGTGTCCTATGGGACGGGCATAACACCAATCTAGGGCATCCTAGCTGCTTTATCATAGCCTCTCATGTCATAGTTGAAAAGTCCAATTTTTTGAGCGCCTTGCCGCCGGTTACATAAGGCAGTCAGTTGAAGGTATTTTAATGAGTTAATGAGACAAGCTTGTGTGACAGACTGAGATGAAACTAATGATATTTACCATTCCCAGTTGCATGGTTCAGCATGGATACAGACACAGCCCATCCCGACATTGTGCTGAGCAATGATAACACAACCGCAACATGTACCAGCTTTGATGACAGGGTAGTTCTTGGAAATGCAGGCTTCTCTAAGGGATRTCATTATTGGGAGATAACCATTGATCGCTACGATGGTAATCCCGATCCTGCTATAGGTGTGGCTATGGCAAGCACAATTAAAGACTCTATCTTGGGAAAGGATAACAAAGCTTGGTGTATGTATATTGACAGCAGTAGAAGCTGGTTCAGACATGACAATGAACATTCTAATCGCCGTGATGGCGGCATAGAGGTGGGAGCTGTTGTTGGTATATTTCTTGATATTTCAAATCACAAGGTTTCATTTTACTTGAATGACGAGAAGCGTGGGGCTATACGCCTGCCAAGTATTAATGAGGCATTGTATCCAGCCTTCAGTTTAAATCGTAATGTGCAAATCACGTTACACACAGGTCTAGAACCACCAGATTCTAATACCTACAGCTCCAGTGCAAGATCTCATCACAGCAAATAAATCTAGTCTGTTGACTAGTTGAGTTACAAAAATTATAATTTTGGTTCCTTTTTACAGACAAAGTTCAATTATTCAGACTTTTATCTTTGGCTATGATTTCATAAAATAATTCTCACTTGCTGTTATCTTGTGAAAGGAATGTCAAATTAGATTAACATTCCATTATGTCTGCAATCACATATTCAAATCTCAACAAGACTAAGTCTGGTTACTGGAGGTTTGACTGTAGTAAGATATGCCTCATGTTATTTAAAGAACCAATAATATTTGTGGTTCAAGTGCTGCTAGAAGGAAATTGGTACAAACTTGTATTTGGTTAGTAAACTCAAGTATTACAGAAAATTCATAAGCTTCATAAGCTGGGCATAAAAATGCGCTAAAAGGTTATTGTTCTATATTTAAAAGATAAACTACAATTATTCTAGTTGTAAATTTTGAAAGAAATGATTTGCAGAGTTTTTTTAAAGGAAGATGTTGTAGATAAGAAGCATAAATCAATGTCACCAAATAACTTCCTTGTTAACTAGTAAGATGAATGATTTGCTAAAGTGAAGCAGCTTTACAGGAAAATTCTTCCTTTCACATAATAATTTTTTATCAAAAATGTTTTCCTACAGATTTGAGTGACACTCATCACCATCTTAGTTTATAGATATATATGTATAGTTTATAGAGCTTATTATTATAGTATTTTTTGAGTTTGGTGACAAATAGTTCTTATTTTTGCTCACAAGGCTTGATATCTATCCATGATGAGCTGCGCCTTTGGTGGGTAAGGACCAAGCAAACATGCTAATAACACCATGGATGGATATCAAATGTTCRAGTAATTTTATAGATGATATTTGCGCTTGCGTGGTACTGTTTTGATTGGTTGCACTGGTCTGTAATCATGACAATCATGCTGGTCATGTGATTGTGTTAATAGTTCCATGGCATTCATTATGATCTTAAATATTAATAAATAATTATCTTAGCACTTTTTTTGGAGAAAATGGAAGAGATGTGAACCTATAGGCCTGTACTGGCCATGTTTCAAGTGTGAATAGATCTTTTTCATAGCATGGGTGTCATCCTATTTCAAATCTTGTTCTTCCTTTGATAGTATTTTCTTTGTCTACAGGTGAAATTAGAGAAATACATTTTTATGGATGAAACTTGAGATATTGAGAAAATACCACCCAAGCATGAAATTCCTATTCATTTCCACTAAGATGTGGATTACTAGGGTTGTCGATATTCTGCGAACTCAGTAGTATTACAAGCTGCATGCTGAAATTTTTCACTGCTGTCAATCAAAAATAATCAGTTAGTACCTAAGTTTTATGTTCTTGGCTGGCAGCAGTAAAAGACTTCACAACAAGCTGTTGAAAATGTAAAATTGTTTCTGTTCTCTCAATATGTGATCAATATATGACAAAGGGCTAAAACTCTCTTCACTGAGTACTTTAGCCATTGCAACAATTTAACTTATWTCTCCAATGATGGATTTGCTTCGGATGAAGCATAATATATTTAAAATTATTCAATTGATGGTTGTCAACCATTCCCAAGAGAATTAAATAACAAAAGACATGGTGGCCATGTTGGAGGATATAACAAAAGAATACATTGACAATTCTTTTGTTAAGTTCCTCCAACATGGCCACCGTGAAAACCATCAATAGTTTAAATTAGGTTCAAGTTTGGAAAATTATTTGTTAGAAAAAAGATTAGGTACAATGAAAAGATACACCTGTTAAAAGTATTACTGAAAGAGCAATACTATTTGCTTGGGTTAACAGCTCCAGCTTCAAGGGCTGTCATATTGATCAGATTAAATGTAAGTTGGTTTAACTTATGTGGCTGGTAAATCTAATTTATTTTTTGAGTTTTAATGAAAAAAAATTTGAATTAAAATGGCTTTAACATTCAATATATTTCTAAGTTTTGTTTGCATGACAAAATTTAATCATTAATAATATTTTTATACAGTTCTGTAAATATAATTTTTTTGTTTGTTTATTATGTGTTTTGATTAACAAAAAGTATAAACTTATTTAAGCAACAATATAAGGAACACTGAAATCTCTTAGACTAATGGCTGGTTATATTAACACATTGCATATGTTGTGTTACAGTCAAACCAGCTCATGGGTTCCCATCGAGGTTCAAACCTTCAGTTTATTATTCGAAGTTTGATTTCCATCTTGCTCTGAAACTTGCACTAATAAGACTAACGTTGTAAATTTGAAATTTGGGATTGGACTAAAAGTTTATTTAGTTCTTCACAGATTCATGCAAAGCCTAAATTATTTTTACTGTTGTAGCTACCATTTTAAAGTTACTTGTTGCTGTGTTGTTTTATTCAAAAAATCCTATCMCAAATAAACTTTTTTTTTTTGATGTTTTGAGGTAAAAGTAAAGATTGAAATTCACAATGTCATTTGATTAATGCAAGCTTCAAAGCGAGATGGAAACCAAACTTTGAATAATAAAATGAATCTTTGAGCCTTGATAGGAACGCATGAGCTAGTTTGACTGTAATACAGAGTTTAAATAACATCACATAATACTTGACATTAACTTAAGTGACATGTGTACTCTTTGAACATAACATAACATCTACAATTGTCCATTAATTGAATTTAGATTAATTTAAGAGAAAGATTGCTTTGTTTAATGTTTTTCAGTGTTGTTAACGTGTTCAAAATAATATTGTTCCAGTGTTAGTATAATTTCTATCGTTAGTCAAGTACATTAATCAAGGCTTAAAGAACTACCAGACATCAGACAATGTCTGCCCATCATTTTGACCAGTAACATTGAGCCAGAAATGAGGTATGACGGAGCTAAAACTAGTTAGGGCAGTCATGCTTATTCTTAACTAGCTAAAGTCAGTACTCTATGCTCCAAAATCCTCTATTTAACAACATGTAATAGGTTAATATATGTATAAAGAATGAACAAATCTTGAATTAAATGTCATTGTATGTTTGCTGATGTGATGAATACTTCCAACAATTTCAAGGAAACAAGTACTTATTAATACTTTGAAATGGTTTTTTTAATAACAAAGAAAGAGATGCGTTGGAGGGAGGAAGAGGCTGGGATAGTTACACAAGACATGCAAAACATGGCGACTGCCAAGAAAATTTCATTTAATTAATATGGTTCTTTTAATTACAAGTTTTACAAGCCTTTCATTTTGAACTATTTTCTATTCATCAGGCATGATGAATGTTTTGCTGATTCCCTGTACCCATTCCTCATGTTCTTATTTTTAATTTCAAAAATCTTAAACCACCACTTGATAGGGCTGCTACTACTGTATTTAACTTGCTTTGGCCTTAAAACACTAAGAGAAGGAGAGAGAAATCATTCCCCCGTTCTACTCCCCCCAAAACCACATCCCTTGATCACAACATTTCTCTTGTTCTCCTGCTCAATTTAAGTGAATGTGTCTATAATTAAAAGCAAATGACACATTGGCTTAAAGATATGAAGTTTATCTTACCAGGTTGAAAAATATTATGCTGGTTTGCTGAGCTTGCTTCTGAAATATTTTCACCACTAGAATATAAACTTCATATCTTCATACCACCATGTAATATCTATTTATATGGAACTAATTATCGTATGTTTGGTTTACCCTTTGTCCTCTCCATTTCCTTCTGTCTTGCAATAATTCTTTTTTCTATATTCGTATTCGTAGGGTAGGTTTATTTAAATTTATTTGGTAACATTTCCACCATGATTATAATATTGCATAGTACATTGGTGTTTACTTTGATTACTATGCCGTTATTCAGTAGGCAGGCATGTGATGATTGCATAAATATATACACTGCAATTATGATTCTATTGTTCCTCAATATGTATCAGCACCAATATCAAACCATAGTATTAGATAGTGAATGTACGAAGCCTGGATAACGCTACCCAATGGATAAATCTTATCCCGTGGATTAATCAATTTATTGGATAACAGGCATTGACTTATCCACTGGATAAGGATTTATCCACCGGATAGTGCTATCCAGGCTTTGTACAACCAGGCCCTGGTGTCTAACTGATGCCTGTTAACCCCAGCGTTAATGTTAAAGTACTTTAATTGTGATATATAATCATGACAACACTGTCATTGATTCAATTATCTACTTACAAGTAATGCTTGACTACATCCAACTATACATGCACAATGTACCTGTATAATTCTGTATTTCAAAGCTTCATTTTTTCTTCTTGAAGAATTTGATGTAGACAACACCACCAAGGATTGCAAGTTCAACAATAATTATACACAACAGAAGTAGCTTGTTGGTAGCAACTCTGTGAAGAAAAAAATGTGTATAGTTCCTACTAATAGTGTACTATCAATGTCACAAATGATTGACAAGCAGATACTATACAATACCTTATAGCCATACTGTTGAGGATTCTTCGACTTCTTCCCAAATCTTCATGTGTTTCCTTTAACTGAAAAATTATCCAATAAATCAAGTTTTTAAACAATTGTATGGATATATTATGCTGTTTGATGATGACAGCTCAGCTAATATAGTGTTCAAGTTGTTTTGGCTTTGAACCAAGATTTTAGTACTTTATTAGTTCAATGAGTAGATAAAATAACAAGTTGTGCTTACTCTATCTCTTGTTCGTATCAAGGATTCTCTTTGATCTGTAAGGTCCTCTATTATCTCTCCACCTATTTGCTCTACAAGTAACATACCAGTCATTATTATCAGGACACATTTTACTCCAACACCAAAAGCACATTTTGGGCATACCTGTTTCTACAGCAACTCGTGTAGATCTTGCTATACTTTCAGTGGCTCTGTGTAAACTTTCTGTTCCTTGATTAACTCTGCTCTTTTGTTCTCTCTAATGAGAGTAAAATGTATTATGTAGTGTTTAAAAAACGAGTAGGAGTGTTTTATCAGGTATAAAAGCACGAGGCATAGAGTGCTTTTATACCTGATAAAACACGATCTACGAGTTTTTTGAACTGCTTAAAACACTCGTGAACAATTTATAAGATTTTGGTTCAACTGGAGCCACCATACACGTCACGAACATGGATTTTTATACTTCGATAGAGATTTGACGTCACGGCCATGCGCAACCAGATTCAATAGAAGCTCCCACACGATGGACATTGCGTGCCAAGGCAAAGACAGGCACGTTAGTCAAAGATCTTTAGGGTTGACTATGACCTTGATGAAGCTCTATGTCTTCATCTAAACTTGGATGCATACTTCATCCCTGATGAAGTCATCCTCATAGTATTGGAGTGGTCTTTATATAAAGATCACATGTCTTTATATAAAGATACATGTGTCTTTATATAAAATCACTTGAATACTAATGAAGAGGACTTTATCGGGTATAAAGGTTCATGCACGTGACGTGTATGGTGGCTCCAATTGGACCATAAGCTTATGAATTATTAATGAGCCTTTTAAGAGTTGGTTATAGTTGTCTAATACTACTGGCGCTTAGGAACCAGTATATAAAGTACCTCAGGATTGGTGTCAAATAAGTCATCTCTTCCAAATGTAACACGAGGACCAACAGATGGTTTGCCCTGGTTATGAAAACGATATATAAAATTATTGTTTAATCTTCTGCTGATTCAAGTGACAAAAGATGTAAAACTGTTATTGATGTTCCAACCAAGGATTGACTGGCACATCATTGACAGTTGGCATACTATGATCACAATATACAATCATTTAAGATATCATTACAGCAATGGTTACAAAAGTACACATCTGTAAACCCTAGCCTATGCTAGAAGTGCTATATGTTTAAGTTACAGTTAAGTTACTGTACTTAATTCATTGATCACAACGTTTACTTACAAGATCTTTTTTTAGCTTTTGAAAATCCCTTTTATATGTTCTGACTTTTGATATCATAGAATTTCTATAAGCCCCTGGGGCTCTTCCAGCTTCATCCTCCATTTCTTCTATCTAAAAATGAAAAAGGAATTTTTGTCATGTTCAAAGCTTGTGTTTGTCTCTGACATACTGAATCATACTGGACCTCCTTCAACACTGAGCTGAACCTTTCCATTTTCATGGCAGAAAATCTTTGTCACTGGTCTACACACTAGTTAGCTAGTTTACACTCTATRATTACTGGTTTTCAATCATTCCCAAGAGAATGAAATAACAAAAGACATGGTGGCCATGTTGGATGATATAAAAAAAGGGACTAATGATCAACGAATCTTTTCTTAAATTCATCCAATATTGTGGCTGTGAAAACCATCAATACTATGCTATGTAAAAATGGTCAAATCATGTCTTACAATATTTAATAACCCTTTACTACCCTGTATATAAATTGACAGAGCAAGTTAATTTCCCATTTTGACTCAAGTACATGTAAAGAACAAAACCATACACCCTATGGGGGTAGGGGTGGTGTTTTGTACTGGCAATGCATCAAAATATCAACAGTAATTTGATCTATCAGCAAGAAAAATACAGCAAAGGAATACTATTAGTTCATTTAACAAAATCTTTGAGTTCACATGCACTTTCATCACCATCACGTGATATATCTTATTCATTTTCACAAGTTGGTACTAAATAGCTTTACCAATAAATTGGCATCTTCGATTTTCCTTTCTACTTCCCTGATGGCTGATTTCTTTTGTTCTATAACGAAAACCATCACAGAATTAAGCAGTGATATAATAATATTTCTGATATGTTGGTCAACAGTTGATCGAGACAAAGTTGACTAACGTACCTCCGCCTAGTTTGGGAATCCTGTGAACGACTCTAGAATTTACATCTTCATAAAGCACTCTAAGTTCATCCTCGAACTCTTCAAACTTCTCAGACGACATTATCACGAGAAAAACCAGTAGATATAAAGGAATGAAGAAGGAATAAAACGATGGAAGGAAGTGACACAGATTTGACCGAGAAAAGAAAGAAGGACTGGTACCAGGTGACGAGTTCACCCAGGAGTCAGTGCGCGCGTGTATCTATTTTAAGAAAGGGGAGTGGAGGGGAGGGTATCGTCCTAATATATAATAATCCTATAAATAAATAAAAGTGCTAAATACAGAATCCAAAGCTCACTACCATATTTTACCTTCATACAATAAATGCATTTAGCTACCCCATATTGCCAGTAGTGTCACCAACCATCACTAGAGACCGTTAACTTAGTAAGCCCTTTTTTGATGTTCCCCTGTTTCAGTTTCAAACACCTCCAAGGCTCTCCTATATACATGTCTTATCAAATGTATTTCTATGCCCCTATTTTTAAGGGACACTATAAAAAATATCAAGGCCACCACCCCTCCTCCCCCCCTTCCTTTTCTCATCCAGTTCTGCTCTTAAAGGCAAATACACTCTAGGCCCTGCCTTGTGATATTGTGATATGAGGTTCAATAAACTGATTGATACTTGCCAACGACCTTGCCAACCATGTTATAGTCACATGCGCAAAAACAATCGCTCTTTTTCTTAAAGGGCAGTAGTGTCCAATTTCTTGTCAGGGTTATCTGACCGCGCGAGGTCTGGTTCAGGACATCCTCTGCCAACTTGCCGAAAGCTTTACGATGTTTTGAAAACAACTTCCGATTTCGCTTTAATTTTCTCATTTCTTACCCTCAAACTTTCTTTATATTCACAAATTAAGGCATCAGTAGGACTAGGTATTTCATCTGGTATCTACTCATTTGATTTGTAGTAATCTTTGGTGTTATACACGATGTGAGGAGCTTGGATTGTGAAAGGGAACTTGCAGCCCGCAAGCAAGGTCAAAGACATCAGTACAGGACGGATGTAGGAACGTTTTGATGTGGCTCAACAGTTCTGATTCTCTCTAAACTATATTGACTGTAATGCCGTGTAGATAGAGAGAAAGAGATCATGCCTATATCAGAATGTGATGAAACTCTTAATCCATCTAAATGGAAAGGCATTTTATTGGGACCCTTGCGAAAGGTACCGAGTCGATGTTCACTCATCACTGTGAAAGTATTTCGGAAAGGGGAAGTGGCCGTAGGATTTATTTAAACAGATCCTGTTTAGAACAAATTCACTAAACATTCAGCTTTACTAGCCATCTGTTTTCAGTGGTGAAAGGGAAATATTTTTTGGTTTAGAAACTTGTGATTCATATAGTAATGATTTGAATGTTGGGTTTTCTAGGTCCAAAAAGATGTTCATCCTTCTCTGGATGTGCAAGATGAAGCACTGGATTACATAGAGGATCTTATTATCCACTTGTTACATCATTTATGTTCTTGTCAGCCTCACACTATAAGTGATGTGGAAGACAGAGTCTCAAAAACATTTCCTGATCCTATTGATAAATGGGCCATCTTAGACGCGCAATCTGCTATCGAGAAAGGAAAGAAAAAAAATCCATTGATCTTGCCCGTAGACAAGGTTCATCCACTTATTAAGGTAAATCTAAATAATTGTTAACATCAAAATAAGGTTCTTACTAGATCTTAAAAGGATTCTTTGGTTTTATGTTAAGTCTGTAAAGGACCTTATTATTCCAGGTTAATGTCTGTTTTCTTGGGAGTCGTTTGAAACCACTTTCGAAAGTAGCTTTCAACCTTTTATCCAATTATTTCAAAATTCGTATCGCTAGTTAATTTACTTAGCTCAACCTCGATACTTTGAGTATATTGTTATGTCTATTGAATAAAACGCCTAATATTTATTATTGAACCCTGGTTTATTTGGAAATCTAATTCATTATTCTGTAGAATACACACCCCTTCAATAATAATATAATGCTACATTCGAAACTTGCATTTATGTACAAAGCAATCAATACAATTTAAAATAATAAAGATCAATCCTTTTCATATTATGAATAAATGATTCATATGTTTTCTAAAATGTGATTTATTTTTCCCTTTTCTCCCTTTTATTCCTATACTGAACATTTCAAAGTTTTCCTATCCAAAGGTAGTGATAATAAACTCCATTACACTGGCTATAACATGTTATTTCTTGCTGCTAGGTATTAGAAACACTGTGATAAAGGACTAACCTATTTTGCAAGKCCAATTTCACTGCAATGATTGTGTACATTTTAGCATATGACAGTTAAATTTCATCTATTAGACAGATATTTCATTTCTGTCGTTGAAAATGTTAGTATGTTAGTCATATTGTTTTTTGTTATTTGCAGGATATTCTGGGCTACAAGGTGGATAACCAGGTGTCATTGTATATAGTTGCTGTCATGGAATACATTTCAGCTGATATACTCAAGGTACCACATGGATATTACCTAGCACTTACATTTTCAATAAGCAACTCCATTTATATTATAGATCTTACTTCATTGTTTTAATAGGATTTCAATTGTTTGTTATAAGAATATATAGAACATGTGTTTACAAGTGATATTTCTGCTAATTATGCAATATTTGGATTTACAAATCTAGTGTAAACAAATATTTCAAGCTGTATTAACTAGAGGATTGAGTCTGGCATGGTTTTGTTTATAGATTGAGTCATATCTCTTTAATAGTCATAACAGTTATTTAAGATCTTTTTTGCAAATCATAGTTGCTTGCATACCTATTTTAGTGTTTACTTAGTACAAGAAAATAAAAGTGACTGTTCTTGTCACTCTGCCTTTGTTTCCTGTTTACAACAGCTACTCGTGTATGATTATGACTTTTTAACCATCCTTCAGAATCCTGTATTCTGATTGGTTGATTATAATTAAACCTCTAGCGTATTATGTCATCAGATGAATGKACACTTTTTTTAGCCCTTTTCTAGATCAATTTTGATTACAGAAATATACTTTTCATTACAAAAATATATGTAATTTATACACAAAAAATAAATTTTGTTCATTGTCTTATCATGTTTAATAAATGGGGTCCCCAAATTCGTTTAGCTGTCAAAATGTGTGTAAGTTCACCCTTTTTTTGGGAAAAATGTGTGAACAACGTAATATATATTTTACTTAAAAAAATGATTGATTTTCCTCATTTTTTACAGAAGTCTAGAAAATAACCAAATTACTAGTTAGCATTTGAAATTTGTGTTAAAAATTAAAAATATATAATGTATATATAATGCCTTCGCATTACATGAAATTCTATTCCAATTATTATACACAAAATATGTAATTTTAATTTGTTCCCATGTCAGATTTTTTTAATTTGTCCTCTAATATTGAGTATCATAAAGTACTTTCAAAAAAATGATGTAAAAAATGGGGTTCTGTGACTTTATTTTAGAGCTATAAGAGATTAAAGACGTTTTCTTGATATTTTGTTATCAAAGCATACGAAGAACCAATTGGAATGATGTCATCATGATGAGCGTGTGCTCACTAAAAATAAATGAATGAAAGAATGCACGCAAACAATGCCCATAAATATCCTTAAATTTATCATTCTTTAAAATATCCAAAAAGACATTCCTTGACAACACGACTAAAACATGTTGACTGCATGCAGTAGATGTTGGGGTTAGAAAATATAATGCTTGGAGCATGTGCAGAAAGACTTGACCCAGACTAATTGATAAAAGTTCCATAGTCCAAAGTCTGTAATTTGGTATTGTCCTTGTGAAACAGATATTAATTGAATCTTATGCCTTGGCAGAAGTATTCAGGTAGTTGTAGTTGGATAGACGGGAAAGTGTTAGATTGGAAGATGAACATATTAGCAAGATACTACGATACATTTCTCTTTAATAGTTTATCATACTCCTCCAAAAAAAATATCATTACAACATTTTGTATTCCTATRTGATAGGTTCTGCCTAGTGACTGTTTATATTTACATCACTAATAGCTTTTTTGTTTACCCAGCTTGCTGGCAACTATGTCAAGAATATCAGACACATTGAAATTACTTGTCAAGATATTAAGGTTGCCCTCTTTGCAGATAAAGTAAGTGTTATTTCCAGTATTTATATTCATAGTATGCCCTCGTACTTTCCTCTATGTCCGTCCTCTATCTGTTAATACTTCGGTTGAAGTCTTTGTTCTTTCTTCATTTCTATGTAGCATATTAATATACTTAAATTGATAGTCTGTGAAATTTCAAGGTTTATAAAWGCGCTATATGAGAACCACCCTTCATTATTATTGTTGTTTGAGTTGTGTATTCTTTTGTTTATCATTGCTATTTGTGAATATTTTGACACTTCCAAGTGGCATGTGAAGGTTTGTTTCCTCATATTATTTATAAGGATAGCATTTTTCTATGCAAACAGGTATTGATGTACATGTTTCATCCAGATGATGTAGAAGCACCTGTAGAGGAAGAGGTGAGTGACAGACAGACAGACAGATAGAACTGAAATCATGATAAATTGTATTACATATTATTATGCAAACTTTGCAGTAAAGGCATGGGATTACTTATCTGATTATCATTTTATTTGTTCTGATTGGTCGGGATGAAGCATGTTGGTTTCTACAAAGGTATAAGAGGGCTGTAAGACTGACTCTAAATCATGAGATTGCTACTAGCATTCTTTACTAAACTAAGAATCTTTTATCCTAATCTAATTAACCTGCCAGCTTAATAATTTGCAGAATTCTTATATATTATATTAATTATAGAAACATTTTTGAGTGAAAATTTAGGAAGAATTAAGTGGTTCTTTTTAAAATTTATTTCTAGATTTGTAAGATAATTATTATTCTTAATTATTCATATTCGTATTATTCATATTTTCTATACCATCCATTTTCCCATTTCAGTCATTTCTTGAAACTCATCTTTTTAAGTTTACTTGTTGATTGTCTGAAATGGTTCTTTGTCATGATAATTAGTATCTGTATTAAAGATATTTTCTGAACCTTCTCTCACGGCTTGTATAAATCACTTGGCAAACTACAAGTTAGTACTAATTTGCTATAATGTAATTTTTTATGGAGATGCTTTGTTTCGTCCCTAAGAGATGCTTATCTCATGGTTTGAAAGCCATATGACAGGTAGACCAAGTTAACAGATGTGAAATTAGAATGATAATAATATAGAATGACTTGTTAAACCACAATCCTTGACTTACRATTTCTTAAAATCATCCTGTATGTACACATGAAATTATGTTCCATTCTGAAATGATGAGGAGGGTTTTTCTCCGGGTTCTCTGGTTTATCTCCCTCCTCAAAAATCAACTTCTAAATTCTAATTCGATCTTTGGGCTTTCACTTAGTTTGGAGCCTAGCCCTGTTGTGATTGTCYCAYGCTGTGATACGACAGTGAAAAGCTTTKTAGTTTTTTTTTAGAATGGAAATCTTTTGTTGCCTTATACTTTTATRAGRAAAATAAAACATTTCTTTATTCAATMGTTTTTATTTTYATTTATTTATTTCATTTAACACACGTCTTGATGTGACCAAAAGTGTCTTGAATATGTTATTTGTCATGCATAATTCAAAAACTAATTTTTCACTGTCGTAAATATATTTTACAAACCTTTGAAAAGTAGCATTTTGTTTTGAAGAAACATTATACTTGAATTGAACTATTTTAGGAAGGTTTCAAAAATAGATGATCATTAGCAATTATGATTGAACCTTTGACCACCACGAAACCTCATGGCCACAGAAAAGTCATGCAACAAGATCAAAATTATCTYATGATTATGAGAAAATATAAAAAAATTAACCGAAAGCTACATTTGTTTTTATTATAATGTTATATTAATTCATATGGTAGTTGTATTCCTGTTTAGAMATTTGCTGTTGATCATAATTTTTTATTTGTTTATATTCATATACATTACCACATGATAATTATTCCATTTTAACAATTTGAGGGCTATACAAGGTGTTAATTGGTTGTCTTTACTCTGTTTCTGATAATATAAGAAAGAATCCAACTGCAAGTTTGGAGAGCTTCAAGTATATTGAGAGAATGTTTTTATAATGATCCTGATGTATTTAAAATGTAATGTTAAGGCATTGCTCAAATCTATGGGGTTTCAGCACTGTACTTAAACAAGTGCAGAACAACCCTGTTACAAAGGAAGTAAACATGGCTTCCTCAAGAGTTTGTCACCGTCTACGCAGAAAAGGTACCTTGATTTTCAGCAAGACTTCCAAGCAAGGATACAAGAAAAGATTACCTGCACAGTATATCTTTCTAAGGGTGGGTTCTTCGTTAAACGTTAAGCTACTTTACAACTTGTTGCACTCACTTTACAGAATGGTGAGCCTGGAAATGAAACCTCAGCTTTTTTTGTACAAACTAACTAAAGAAAGTATTTATTAAAATAACATTCACTGTATTATGATTTTGAGTTGCATTCAGTAATGACACCTTCAAAATCTTCATCATAAAATTTGCACTTTTTATGTTATTTTAATGCAGCTCCAGGTGTTGAATTAACAGAGCTAATGTTTGCTCATCAAGATATTTATCGCATGATAAGATATTATGTGCAGTAAAACAGATTCCTTAGTACTCTAGTTTACCCAAGTAACAAGTAGCATTAAATTGATAAAGTACGACATAAAACATGTATATCCATACTGCAGGTATAAATTATAATTCCAGGACAGATTTAGTTTCTTGAACCTCAGTGTATTCACTAGTTATTTTTAAAAATRTAGGAATTTTTTCTTTGTTTTAAATTTAAGTTGCAAAAGAAGGAAAATCTTGACATGATTCCTGTKGAATATCTCCAGGGAGGTCACAAGACGTAGCCATTAATGTCATATCTGCAAGACAATTCATTATMGTATTGTTTAGTTAAATGATTAACATAATTCTAAATTAGTTATAATAATTTATTGCAAACACACTTTGCTTGTTTTTATTTTTTTTCAATTCTTAAGAAAGTCTGTTTTATTCATTCCTTCATGGTTCAATTTAATGTTTGATATGAAATAATTATCGTCTCCATTACCCAGATTGATACACTCTCTTGAAAGTGAAACCGCAAGCTTTCATTCTTTCCTAAATGTCCTCATGAACATAAATCATCATGTATCTTTGCTCTCGTAGACCAATGATAATCAGGAACTTCTAACTTACGATGAAGTGGTAAAAGAAATGATAATCGCAGAAGCTAAATATATCAGAGACCTAAACATGATCATCAAGGTATGTAGTGTTGTTATTATTAGAACTATTTATTAACAGGAAGTCTATAGCTCTGTTCTATTGTTGGACAGCAGCCAAATCTTTGACTATGTAAACAAGGTCTGGCTAGTTTTGCTGCGCTCATTTGTTTCAGTTACATAACATTTCACATTGATGTCTAATCTAGTAGCAAKGATAACAATGATATTGGGTCATAATGTCTGATGTGTACGTATTTCTGTTTTTGTAAGATATGTCAACATGTTTTAATCTTTGAAACAGTTCAATATTTATGTACAAATTCTATTCAAATGAAGCCAGACTGGAGCATATATTAATCCTAATTAGTTACAACAGATCTGAAACGCTACCTTTCAAGCTGTTACAGTTTTGATTGGTGGAAGTAATATATATCTTTCTCTATATTTACCCAGGTATTCAGAGCCCCGTTTGTTGAAGCCAAGGATTTGTTTACAAAAGAGGTACTCCACTACCTATTCCATTGATGTTATTTTTTGTTGTTAATATAATTTCAAAATTGCCTAATGTAAAAGTCTGTTCTCCATCATTGTTTTCAGGACATTGATAAGGTTTTCAGTAACATCACAGATATCTATGACTTCTCTGTGTCTTTCTATGGTCTCCTGGAAGCAGCTATAGAGGTGGCGGATGAAGGAAAATCTCCTGCTATCGGTACATGTTTTGAAGATATGGCTGAGGTGAGCATCAGCATAATGTTAATCAGTTTTGTTAGTATCACAATACAGTGTTGTATTGTGTACAGTTATACTTCAAGTGTCTGCTTAACAGACATATTTACGGCACTTAGGCACGGGTCTCACGCTGCGATACAGATGGCATGTACCACTYGTGTGGTATCCTTTTTTAACTCCTGGATATGCAAAGCACATCAATAAGTTATCGTCATGAGACTGAATACTCACTAGAGGTATTGGTAATTAGGATGAAAATATCTTGTGCCACTAAAAGAGATTCCTATAAAGATATATCATTTCCATGACTCCAGCTTTGATGATGATAATATTTTATAAATASTTATTAGTTATATTATTATAAACCAATGATCATTGGTTATTTTTTCCTGGAAGGGAAATGAGTTTGAAGTGTATGAGAAATTTGCCAAGGAGCAAATGGAGTCTACCAGTAAGATGTACCGACATCTTGGGATTGGAGGCAAACTGTATGAGCTGTTAGCAAGACCAAAAGTAGCAGAGTATTTCAGGGTAAGATGGCTAAAATTATTTTGCTAGCAATAATGCCAACATGTCTAAAACAAAAGGCTGTTATAACACTATTTAGCCGTTACTCTCTCTTACTTTTTAAGTGCGCTATTTATTGAACATTACATTATGATGCTGTAGATAATTGATCATGATCTTAACTAATTGAGGAGTAGGAATTTTAGGAGAAAAATGTTCTTGCGATTTCCATTGCATGATTGTCCTGTAAGCAAAGAATTCTTTAATTTCCCTTCCAACTACATGACGGGTTATTGTTACATTAAACTGAAATATTATGATGATTATGATCGTCTTGTTTAGAGTAAAGGGTCGCGGTTCAAAGAAACTGTGCAGTACTGTTTGCCAAAAYTGTTGATGATACCTTTACAACACTGCATGCACTACTTTGATTTAATCAAGGTAAGGATGTGCTTTATAAACACATACTATACTATAACTATTTGACTTTAAGAAATGCAAGTGTGTGTGTAATTCGATTTTATATCATCAACCCCAATTCTTTGAAGAAACATTGTATCTGTGTGTTTAAGTGGAACTTGTAATTAGCATTAAGTAACGAAAGTTAATGTGGCATGTAAACAAACCCAAGTTCAAGTTCAAGTTCAAAGTTACTCATGACAATTAAGTTACCTTTCATATATCAAGGCTACAGAAATTTAATATCCTTGCTGATCATTTTGTTATAGTTCTTGACATTTATTTTCATATTTACATGTGTAACAGTTGCTGAAGAAGACAAGCCCTGATGAGTTTGATCTAGAGAGCTTAGAACAGGTGTGTACCCTTGATATGGATTCTTGTACTGTACTCKTGGCTAGGGATTTGACGTCACTTCTTATTTATAACCATCACTAAATCTATCCATTGATTCTATTGGCATTAGGTCCAGAGTTCTCARAGTTTGTTTCAAGCAAACATGGAAAGGATCATCGGGAATATGCTCAAGAAAAAAGAGTATGTATAATATATATCCTTTTAATAACCATGACAATGTGTGTTATTGGTTCAATGAATGCTTGTTGTGGATATATTATAGTCTAGTCACACTATAGTYACACTAATATAAATCTACTCTGACTACAATGTACTGTGTGCTAAGCTTGAATCAAATCCTTATAACAGAGGTATATTTAACTTGTTGTTGTTGTAGGGATAAATTCAGTAAAGCACAGAAAAGAAAGTCTGGAATTTTGAAGTCTGCAGCTTCTGTGATGAATGAGCTGCAAAGAAACATTGATGGCTGGGAGGTCAGTGTCATATTGTTAGACAGACAGACAGATGGTCAGACAGACAGACAGACTGTAATCATTAATGACTGTTGATGATAACCATTCATTATTGATATTGATTGTGGGTGTTCTTTTAGGGTAAAGATATTTCCCAGACTTGCACAGAAATCCTCAAAGGCAAGTAATATATCATTGTTGCACCATTTTTAATTCTTGTAGGGCAACTGACTTATTGGTTTTTTTTTGTTTTTTGTTTTGCAGAGGGAGTGCTTGGTAAATTACATCCTAATAAAAAGGTACACAAACCTTTTTCTATAATGTTCCACCATCTAAAACTCTTGACCAACCATAAGTCAGYGTTATCAGAGTTATACATCATTGCCATCGACAAATTCTTTCAAGCCAAAACATTTTGGATCAATACAATAAATGTATAAAAATTGTTTCAAGGCAATAATAGAGTGTAACTCTAATATCTGCTATTAAATAAATACATTTGCATAACTCTCTATTGATGATGATGATRTTGTTTGTTTTGTTTAGTATACAGAGAGATATGTGTTTCTTTTAGATGGTCTATTAATATGCTGTAAGCAGGTAATACTATTGTCAGTATAATTGCTATTAACCTTGTATCTTTTTTGGCTCTACAAAATTTATACCTTTGTTCTCTCTTCTGTCTTGAGTCTTTCTACCTCCTCTTTCGATATTGTAAACTTCCTCTTTGCCTCCCACTTTATCAAGAGTTCCAATAGTCTATGACAGTAACCCATAGCTAGACGTTCAGCCCCCCATGCTTCAGAGTTACTGCCAGCTTCTTATTGTTTAACACCACACTGTTTCAGAACACAAGGCACTCATTGTCTGGACAGAATTCCCCAGAGTACAGACTAAAGGAAAAGTATTTCCTGAGGAAAGCTGAAATCAATGATTTAGATGACACCGAAGGTAAATACATTATTTATATTTACTTTCTCTCACTGGCTAAAGTTGGTTGCCAAGATTCAGTTGTTTAGTCATTGGTTGATTATTTTTCTCRACTTCTTTTTTATTGCCATTAGATGTTAAAAATGCATTTGAGGTGGTTGAACGTGATCAGCTGAAAGCCTTGTTTATCTGTAAAAATGAGACAGAAAAGAATGAATGGATGGCCATGTTGATGACACTACACATGAGAAGGTAAGATGTTGTTATGACATCATTAAACAGTCATTCTACTGGAACATGGAATAATATCATACTACTTTATCTTGTACTTGCAGTACATTRGATCGGTTACTGGATCACATGTTACTGGAGGAAGAAAAGGCTATCCCACTAAGAATACCCAATCCTGATGAATACTGGTAAACAAATCAACTGCTCTGCTATTGGTTGTAATACTTATTTAGACCATTATGTAATACTAATTGTAATTTATGTGGTTGTAGTTTTGCGGTTGAAGATGCAGAAGACAATATTGTGTTTGAAGAAGGACAAGGAGTAAGTATGACCAGTAATAGACACAAGTCAGCTAACAGTCTCGTTGAATGTTTGRCATGTTTCTTCTCCAGAATTCTGTGGCACCTGTCATAAGGGGAGGAACTTTAATCAAGTTAATAGAAAGACTGACTCACCACAAGTATGCTGGTATGTATGTGGGTACTGTATATCAGGGGGGGAGGGGATGGTTAAACCTGCTGCTCTAGATAGATATGGGTTGATAGATGTACCACAGTGCTATAACAAACTCATCTCATTTGTTTCAGATCCTACATTTGTGCGCACCTTCTTGACAACATATCGGTCATTCTGTAAGCCAAGAGAACTGCTGGACCTACTAATAGATAGATATCCTTTAATGATCAATAATATTTTATTTCTGCAAGGGGGGAGGATGGTCAACACTGTTCATTACTGATTTATCATTCTCTAATAGATTCCAACGTAAAGTATAATTTATATATGCATTTGTTCTTAACAATTGTCACATTTAAGATTCCTGAACCTCCACCAAGTGAAGAGGATCGTCAGGCCATGGCACGAGGACAGCCCGTGCTGAGAGAAGATTTAAAAAGATTTAGAAAAGAATATGCCCAACCAGTTCAACTGAGGTWGGTATTGATTCAATCTTGATATAAATATTGCCTTCTAACCTTCATTTGCTACATGATTAGAATTAGAATGTCAAGAAACAACACCATCACATCTGTTAACCAGACTTGTTCTCTAACTTTTTTCTCCTGGTAACAGGGTTTTAAATGCCATCCGTCACTGGGTAGATCAGCACTTCTATGATTTTGAGCGAGACAAGCAGTTGCTGAAGAAGCTAGAAATCTTCCTGTCAGAAGTAAATGGCAAAGCAATGAGGCGATGGGTGGAATCCATTAACAAGGTTATCAGTAGGAAGGTCAGTAATAACGTCAAAAAAACATTTTGTTATTGAACAAAATGTTAACACCTGTATGATGAAGGAGGATTAATATCTGATACTCGTCCTGACCCTGCCCATACTCCAGACTTTTCGAAACAAGAATGTTTATTGCACCTATACTTTCCTTCTCTGAAAAATTTGAACCTTCTGATACCTTTGTATATTTTTGTGTATCAAACTTCATAATATACCTGACTTGAGCATTCCCCACCCCACCCCCACCCCCACCTGTGTGTCTGGGAGGAACTTCAAAAGATGCCTTTCTCAAACCCCCTTTCCTTTGGAAGTTTAGATCCCTCTATGAGACATGTGGATATTTTATAGTGTGCATAGCAGTACATTGGGGTGGTACTTTGTGCCAYCATACGATCTAGTTAATTGATAGTACACAATATTCATTTTCAGGCTACTTGCTTAATAATCTGTTAAATGCTCACGACAGCTTTATTGTTTRCATATTTCAGAGCAGTCTTAGTGAAAATTCTGCTCCAGAAATCACGTTTGAGAAGGACCCGCCTCCCATCGAATGGCACTTGTCTAGAGATATTGACAAGTTTGACATCCTGACGGTAATTCAAAATGGAAATATTTGCAATGTTTACTTGAAGTAATAATACTGAGATCGATTATTGTTTTTGCTATTTCAGCTTCATCCTATTGAGATTGCTCGTCATTTAACCATAATAGAATCAGAACTCTACAGGTATGTGTGCATTGACCACATCCAACTTTTCCAATGAAAGGGGGGGGATGTCTTAATCCATATCCCTTATAGGCATTTTTGAGTGGGAATATCAAATACAGTCAATGGGAAGCCAATGATTTAACTGTTATTACATGACATAATGGTTACTACGCCTGTTATTCTTTATAATAGAGCGGTCAAGCCATCAGAATTAGTCGGCAGTGTATGGACAAAAGAGGATCAAAAACATATCACGTCACCCAACCTACTGAAAATGATCCACCATACRAACAACATCACCCTCTGGTTCGAAAAGAGTCTCTGTGAGATGGCTAACCTGGAGGAAAGGGTTGCTGTACTTAGAAGAATCATTGATATTTTAAGTGTAAGACCATCTATGAATATTCTCATTGTAACTAGTGTATCTTGGTGTATTGGTGACTTGGGATAAAGAGTGGAGAAAATGGAGGAAGAAAGGAAAGGATGGGAAGAGAGAGATGATAAAATGGAAAGAGGAGAAAAGAAAGTGAGGGAGTAAGATGAGAAGAAGAAAAGAGGGTAAAAGAGAGAAAAGAATTGGGTGTGGGAGAAGGAAATGAGAAGGGAAAAATAAAATGAAAAATGGGAAGAGTGAGGGGAAGAAAGAATATTGCACTCCATCTAACTTCTGATTAATTTAGAGTTGTTTTGTTCTTTGTTAGGTTTTTCAAGAACTGAATAATTTTAATGGAATATTAGAAGTAGTTAGTGCCCTGAATTCTTCACCAATTTACAGATTGCAGCATACATTTGCAGTAAGTATTGGTGCTATTGTCAGTAGTTTGTAATACTCATCATAAAATATTTGAGATATAACACACCAGCAGATTGCTGCATACCATGTTTATAAGAGGACAGAGACAATGTTGTTTAAGCTTGCTTCCCTMMTGCTCTACAGCTCCCAGTATGTTATATCACAGAACATGTTYKTACTCCATAAACATAGAACTTGTCTACAGCATCTTTTTGTTGCCCAATTTTCATTTTGTTTGTTTTGACAGGAATTATCAACCAAACGACAACAAATCCTGGAYGAAGCAAAAGAACTGACAAGTGATCATTACAAGAAATACATTGAAAAACTTCGTTCCATCAATCCTCCGTGTGTTCCTTTCTTTGGTAGGTATCTTATATAACATTTATSAGGTTCATCCATCAGGTGACTTGTAATATTTACCTTTCATGTTTATACTATTATTTAAGGAATGTATATGTCAAACATATTAAAGATTGAGGATGGAAACCCTGATTTTTTACCCAACTATCCTGAAGGAATTATTAACTTCAGTAAAAGGTAAAGATATTATAAATAAACCATCTACTAGTAAATACCCTACTGTCCACACTTAACTGATGCCATACACTCATCCCACTTTACAGACACCCCACT